GTTTTTCATTAAGACACTGATTTCTTTTCCATTTTTACTTTTTGTGAATTATGCCTTGAAACATGCTTTGCTTTCATATGAATCCAGCAGCTGTGGTGAAAACACTACTGCACTCTGACCCTCATGGTTTTCAAAAGCTGAAGCAAAATGCTACAAATGCTGCTCAGTGAATTTTGAAACTGATAAAAGGATCCATTCTCACCATTACAGCATCATACCATGAACCAATGTAAAAAAAATTTTGAAAGCAGCAGTACATGCTAAAACACAGGTTAAAAAAATAAAACTTCTCAGGCATAATTCAGTGACACAAATTAACAGTCTATTTAAAAATTAATAATGAAACCAGGAATGAAGGTTTTCATTTAAGTTCAGCTCAGGACCATGTAGTTGTAATTCTACAAACTCTAATAGAAAAATAATTTCCTTGTCATCAGGAGAGATTATTGAAGAGTAATATCCTTGAAATGAGTTACTTTTTTCAGTTTTCTAATAATCATTGCCTTGATCTTAAGACAGATGATTGCTTTAACAGTCAAATTGGAAAGAATATGGTACATTGTTTTATAGAAGGGAGTATTTTTGTAACTGCTGGTAGGAAAAAATACTCATCTGTGACAGAAAACAGCTTCATTTGTCAACAGCAATATGTCAGGGGAACCAGGGGAAGCACATGAGGACACTGAAGCAGAACATGCTTCCAGCCTCCATCCACCCTGGTGCTGGCCCTTTCTCCTTTGAAGCAGGTAGCTTTGTGTTTAATAGCCTCAAGCCATTATTTTTTGCCATGAATTTTTTTATTGTTTAGCATCTGTAAAATTCTGTAACAAGTTCTGTAGCTGAATTGGGCAGTGAGTGAAAGTGCTTCTGTGTAGCTGTTTTGAACCTGTTTTGAACCATTAATTTTGATACCCTGAGTTTGTATTGTTAGTGTCAGGGACTATTTCATTCCCCGTTGTTGTGCTGATTTTTATAACCTTTTAATATATTCCATTTCTTCCTCAAGATTTACTTTTTTCCCACACGGGAGTGACCTTATCTTTGTTTTCCCCTTGAATTTCTTTGTAATATCAAGAGCATTTTTCCCTGTATCAGCAATGCAGGTGGTTCTCTGTTTTTGCTATTTGCTTGTGCAAGTTCTGTGAGTCAGACAGGGGCTAAAACTACTTGCTGCATTTTAGACCACACGATAATGCCAGGCTGGGGTTTTTTTTTTGTTGTGGTTTTCTGTTTGGTTATGGTTATTTTTGTTTGGTTTGATTTATTTATTATTTTTGTCCCTAATTGTTACTATGCAGTACATGGACCTAACTATTTAAACTCCATTATGCTCTTGGAGGCTGCAAGTACAGAAAGGAAACCAATTAACTGCTTTATAATATAGGTTCCCTCAGTTTGGGAAAATGGAATATATTTTCTGCTTAAGCTTCCTGCTTTCTACATTTGGTAATAATTGTGGTGTAATGGGAGCAAGAGCTAAATCTAAGAAAAGCAACAAGGAGTAATTATGGCTTAACACTTCTCAATCTCATCTGTCAGTCATCTGTAAGGAATTGCTATATTCATCTTTCAGTAGCCTGATAATCAGCTCAGTTTGATTTTAATTCACTTTCATTTCTTAGGGGTAATTTTTAATGTTGTACAGAATGTATTAATGAAGCTGACATCAAAGCAAACTGATGCAGTTACTCTAGGCCAGCTGTAACTGCTGCCAGGAGCTCTGAATACACTGAACTTCCACTTTCCATTGCTGGGTGAGCTCTTAGACTGCATTCAAATTGCAGAAGGTCATTGCTCAGTTAAATGTTGACACAACTGATACCAAAAAATACTCACTATAACCTGTCCAAGCATTTTTTCCAACCGACTGGGAAAGGGCAATTGGAGGTTGGCTGAGGTTTTGGCTATTGCAGGAGACCTTCTAAGAAGCCACCAACTTCTTATGTTGACAAATACCAAGAAACAGCAATGCAAAAACTTTTTTTGACAGGTAACTTTATTAATAATGGTCTTGGATCTGTCGCACCTACCAGGTGCCAGTCTTTTGTCACACACCACAAGACTTTCTGAAGAATAAACTAGAAAGGCATAAAGTTAGTTGAAGCTACTAAGACACACATTTGAAGGTGGGTCTATTTTGGACTTTTTTTTTCTTTTTGTAACAGAAGTTTCCATGAATGTGTGTCCAAAAAAAAAATTAAATACATTGAGAAATACAGTAGAAAGACTATATTTACAGTCAATTGTAATGGGCACTGCCAACATATCCAATAACAAAAATAAAACAAAAACTTTTTTCATGTTTCTTTCATGCTTTTTTTTCACAGAGATTTTTTTTTAAATATGATTTTGTTTTTTAAAAAATACAATAAGCAAATAATTACATTCTTAATATGAGAACATTATCTTACAACATACACCCTGGGCCAATTAATTTGAAAGTGTCTAACAAAACTTGAGACTAAATTAATATTCTCCATTTGAAAAAAATCAAAATTGCCACAATCATCTCATTAAAAAAAAAAAACAAAAACCAAAAAAAAACCTTTGATCCCCCAAAGTTATGGTCTGGGTTTTTTTAAAAATCATCACCCATTAACAAAAAATTATTAAAATAAAGCACCTGGTACAGTAACAGGCATTTGGTGAGGAAGCACAAGTGTAATGTTTTATTAAAAGACACAGAAATGGTTCAAAATACAAGAATTTTCCTTTAAAACAAAAGTCATGCTGCTCTATGGCTGATTTTGCCTGGTGATCCTGAAATCTAAAAATGGTAAAAATACAAGCTCTGTTGTTCTGTATAAAAAATTGTGCAGCAATAGAACTATTCAAGACAACAGAGCACATTTCACAGCACCAAATGTGGTCTATAGAGAGCTCATTTCCCAAACTTTTTTGGTTTTTCTTCCTTTCAAATCCTTGGCCATTCTATAGAATAGACGATTGCAAATTGTGACGGTGTCGATGTATTTATACAACAGAGACATAGAATTGCAGCACGTACTGGGGGCAGTGGTGGCCTTATGAAGCCTTGGCTGAAGGAAGAGTGAAAGATGCTTCATTTTGCCAGCAGCCCCTGCTGCAGTGGGTGCTAGAGGTGCCAAGGGTGACCTGCACCTACGGCAGAGCTGGGGCTGGGGTTGTGTGCATGGCCTCAGCACCACAAAATTTCTGTTTGCTTGGGCAGTAATTTGCACACATCTATCTCAGGCACAGATTCTAACCTGTGCCTGCCAAGGAATATTTTTTTTTCCCCATGGGATATAGAGGGTGGAAGATACAATGCTGATATTGGGTAAACAAGACAAATGATTTGGCTTTTTGACTCCTCTGCATTACTCCATGCAGGACCACTTCTTAATGGCAACTGTTCCATCATTGCAAACGTTGACTAAAAGCCTAATTTGCATTATAAATATGTACAGACATAAATTAAATATTTATTGAAATATACAAATAAATAACTTAATTTGAAATAAAAAGCCTAAATGAACTTACTTTTGCTTCAAATTTGTTTCTGCTATTATTTATGGGAATCTGACGCTGTTTAGTCCATAGTCATACAGCATAGAATGTGCCCTCCACTTATAGAGTTAGTAAGTAGATGACCTAAAATAATATTCAAAACTTGTGGTTTCAGTGATAACCACACTGACACTTGCTTTCCTACTGTATCTGCAATCCTGTGGCATTTTGTACATAGTCCCAAAAAGCAAAGAGCCTTTTCTCATGCTGGGCCCCATTTCTACTCTAAGATCCCTGGCCCTAATTGCAGTTGGAAACAGGACACAGCCCTGTCTCCTGGAAGCTATCAGGTCTTTTTGATAGCTCTGTGCTTTCAAATCCCACCAGCTCCTGCAGGAAGTCCTCTGGCATCCCCAGCTCAGCTGAGAATCCCAGTGTACCCTTCAGGAGTTGCACACACCCATTCCGAAAGGTAAGAGATAATCTATAGGCTGGGCCACAAAGGGATGCGATCCTCAATATCTGCTGTCTTGCAATCTTCTGTGGGTTTAATTGTAGTCTTCACTAATTTTCAAGACTCCAGCTCTAACATCTGTGATTATCTCAAAATATGAGTAGGATTTTAATTTTTTTAATTAAAGTCATTTTCTACTCCTCACAGTTGAAGAGGAAAAACATCTTAAGAGTATGATTGAAGGCTCTCCAAAGGCTTAAAAAACCCCAACTTAAAAGAACCCAACTTATTATATGTTCCCTCCGGCTCTCCTATTTTTTTAAAGCCAATATTGAGATTTTGAAGGACTTCAATTGGCAGTTTACTGCACATAATTTCTCAGGAGTGACATGGATGGAGACAAAAGAAAGACAGATTTTTATAATTTTACAGACTAAATTATAAAATGCTGTTTCCTAGTAAACAGAAATGGACTCCTGTCTGAGAAAATCCCCAATTCTCTGTAAAATTGTTTATAAAAGTCTGAAAATTATCATCACCTTTTCAGTCCATCTTCCTCAAAAGTAATAGCTGAGGTCTGAAAAGACAAAGGAAACTAAGTACAGCAGTGTTCTATAACTCAAGTTTAACAATACTATATTATAAAAAACAAGACAAGACTGACTGCATAAGTTATTCTGAGTTGCCATTACTGTGGAGGATTAATTTCAATTATGTTTTCTTTCTCAAATAGAAAAGAAGCAGTATCTAAAAATACCTGTTTGCCTTTTTAAAAAAATCCAGAACAAGTCATAGTTCAAGAACATGACCTTTGAAAATGACTGGTGCTTCAGAACAGCAATAAAGAGAACGTACAAAACTGCATTTTTTTTTTTCAAAGTTTGGCAGCTTTTTATCTTCCAATGACAAAAGCATCTGTCTAAAAAGTATCCCAAAAATGCTTCACAGCTGAGTTGTGTCATCCCATGGTCTTGCAGCAGCACAGAAGATGGAGGCACTGCAGGGTTTCTGCCTTCATGGCCTTGCTGCTTCTGTGAATACATTTCTTCAGTTTTCTTTTGCCACGTGAACAGCTAACAGCAAAGTGACTGCTAATGAGTAAGACCTTGTGGCAGAGCTTGAAAGTCAGTTTTAATCTGTAAGAGTTATGATTTCACACTGGTCTTTAGACACCATTTTTCAGCAGTGTCCAGGCAGTCTGATGGTATGTAATGAACATTACTGCTCTGTGCTGCTTCAGCAAAGTAAACTTTCAGCTGGTGACTTTATGCTCCTTTTTAATTCCTATGGTTGGTTTGGGGCTTTTAGTCTTCATTTTCTTTATCAATGAAGTCAGAAACAAGGAGTTACAGCTAATAAAAAGGGGCACACGTAGTTACACAGCAATACAGTAGAGGGAATACAGGCAAATTAGCGCCAAGCTACCATGAACTTAACAGAATTATAAAACTTCCTATGTTGTATAGCTTGATATGACCATTCAGATGAATCCTTTGCAGCCTACGTCTTGGTCCGTAATAGGTAAGGCCTTTATAGAAAGTGAGTGGTTTTGCTATGCTTATGTTCCATTTTTCATCTCCCATTCCTGGAAAGGGGGCGAAAAAAAAGATATGGAAAATGTTAAAGAAATCGGGATATTTCACTGATGTCATCAGATCTGCTAAGCCAAAGCCAGCTGAGGTCAATAACAGCTGTTCCATTAACTTTGCTGGATCCAGCCTTCTGCCCACAAATTAGTTAGGGAATGCTAACAGGTATGTCCTGATAGCATCTGTACACATCTTCCACCCTCTGCAACTATATAGGGCAACATTTTTTCTAGTGCAGTGCAAATAAGCCAAGTTTGTTTTCTGCAAAGGGTTCTGAGCAATTCACACCCCACAGTCAGTGCAAAGCACTCAGTAAGGGAGAGGCTGATTTAAGCACACAGGGCTCTCTAACTGACTTGCATGAGACAGCAGGAAATCCTCCATATCTCTCAGAGCTGACACTAAGTGATTGCTTTACTGCTCTTCAATTGATTACAAAACTCCTGGTAGACACATTTCTGTGGCTAAAAAGAGCATACTACTGAGGCACAGGGACTAACAGGCAGGGTGAAGAGAAACAAGCCAGTTTGCACCGCATTTGTTTCCCTTATATACAATCCAAATTGAGCTCTTTCTTGGCAAGCTAAAGAAATCACTTTGCCTTTCTGAGCCTCAGTTTCCCCACCTGTTAGCTGAGGACATGAACACCCACAGCAAAACATGTAATCTATAATGCTTTCATCCATTTGTCTCAGAGCAAGGCATTGCCAATTCTTCTGCTCCATAAGTGAAAATCAGGAGATTGCTATAGCTCAACACCCAGCCAAATAAAACTTGTGGCTATTGAGTGACACCTACAGTATTTCCTAACAGTACACAGGGGCTGCAGATTCCTCTCCTACCCCATCTACTCTGCAGACACACTCTGCAGGCAGCCTGCTGACTTGGCTCCCAAACTGAATTCCTCAATTTAACACTCATTCCACAGCATTTAAGAGCTAGGACTGAAAACCATTACTTATGCATGTAAATAGCTGTTTCTGCTGCTGACCATGACACCCCTTCAGCTGCTGTAAAACAACAGTAAAGGTCACAGTTGGTGGCTGGTTTAGAAATATAAGGGAAAAGAATATCTTGGGTTTAAAGCAGGTAGACAGTTACTTATTTGTTTCGATGCTTGTGGGTTTTTCTTCATTTAAATGGTGCTTTTATTAAAACACAATCTACTTTAAATATTCAGTCTTACTCTTCAAATTATGCTAAATCTAAACTTAAAACACAGTATTGTTAAAAACTAGATTGGTAAGTCTATTAAGTGTGTATTTCCAACGTATATGCTACCAAAGCTCTAAAGGAAGTCCGTGGCTTAGCAACTGGGGGGAGAATTTTTTATGTTAAATAAGCCTTGAAAGCAGAAGCTTCTTTTGCAGGTGCAAAAGGAACTTCTTCATTGCTGCAGCAGGTTCACTCCAATGAAAGAATGTTTAAGTCAACACTGACAGCCTGAATGGGAGCTGGGAGACTGGGAGAGCTCCTTTTCTTCTCCAGTCCCTGAATGCAAGAAAAATCCAAGCTTCTGACATTCACCAGTGTAACAGTTTTGAAAGTAAATCAGAAATAATAATTCCAGTTTCCTTGCTGCACATCACCATTTGGTTGTATAAATTAATTTGACATGTGAAATGTTCAAATAAGTGTTCTTTCTTGTACAGCAAGGATATTAGGATCATTTTACTTCTCTAGGAGTGCTAAGGCAGAATATTGTTTTCTGTATTTTAATAGAGTCTCTATTTCCAGCCAAGTACAGATTAACAAAATAAAATGCCTTCTGGCTCCTTAAAAATATGCCTAATTACTTTCAAAAAATTTCAAAGATACAAACAGAAATTTTAAATAATCCAAATATATGTATGCACGTATGTGTATATATAGAGTGTATGTCCTAAAGAGTTAATGCCCAAATTGCTGCTAGTTCTTAGATTTAACACTAGATCTGTCTTATCACTTCTCTATGCATTTCCTTCTCATGTCAATGCATCTGAGAGGAGAAAGCTTTTGGTGGCACAGCTTCCAAACCTGCTGTCCCAGGTGCCTGGCCTCCCTCCTGGGCCTGGCTGTGCCCCCAGCTCCATCTGAGTGGGATGTGCAGGGCACAGCAGCAGCAGCTGCCCCAGCAGAGAGCCCTGAGGTGCTGCTGGGTGGTGAGCAAGGTGAAGACATGAATGTGGCTGGTGACAGGCTTCAGCATCCTCCATGCAAGAAGAGTAGCATTCAGTGCATTCAAATACATACCAAGGAAGTAAAAAACCCAACCCATAATCTGACATTTTGAATGCTTCTACAGCTCCCTCCTAACATCAGGAGACCTGCCAGCTGCTGAAGATGCAAGCACAAGCACAGACGTGAAATGTGTCTCACTCCCACATACTGCACTGACATCCATGTGTGAAGAGCCAAGTTCTGCTCTGGGATACTCACGTGTGACGCCCTTTCCTTAGCCACATCTATAAGGCCTGGGCTCACTCGTAACTGCAAAAGGCCAAAAGGATTGAGAGCCAAATTCCACCCCCACACATGTACAGCTACCTCTCCCTGAAAAACAGGGTGTGCTGCAGCTCCTGCAAACAGGCTGTGACTGCAGCTTGGGTTGCACTATCTAGTTCAGCAAAATTTCACTCCTAATATTTAGTGCATGAGGTTTTAGGAAAAAGCTGTTAAAGCTGAATTGGATACTTTGAGTTGTTTTTTTCCCAGCATGGGAAATATGCTTAGTAGCTCCATATCATTTTTGATTAGCCTAATCCTATATCCAAGATTCCTCTACCAAAGAGCTTGACCAACTTATCGTGCCATCCAAAGGGCAGCAATACTAAACAATGCAACATGTTTTTTTCCTGTATGCTATATGCTGAGCATAAAAAATGTGCTACAGCTGGAAGGTATTCTTTACACCAAAAATGTTTAGGTTTTTACAGTGCTCTGGTTTCTGATTTCTCCAGCTGTAATGATTACAGCTGGATTTAATGTGCCTGTCCAGCACAAATCTATGCTCCTGTTTGTAAGGACTGTGCTCTGCTAGTCCACATTCCCTGAGTAACACTGTGCTAATGTTCACAGTCAGATGATATCTTTATGAGACAAATTAAGGTATAATTGGAATACATAGATAAGCTTTAGAGCACATAAATCCTTCTTCAGATTTGAAACACAAGCAGCAAACTTCAAAGATAATTAGAACTGAAACCTATTATGCTGTATATAATTATTCTTAGTTGAATTTAAATGAATCGAGTTAACTGGCAGAAAAAGCAGTTGATGCCCAGGGAAAGGATGGAGGAAGTGGTGGTAAAAGGGTGAGAAAGCTCTCACATAAAGTATAACAGGAGAAAAATTTATAATAATTGTTGAGATGCTGATTTTTTCAGCATCTAGTACATTGAGCTGCCAGGCTCATGCTGGGCCACTGTAAATGTATATAGTCAATGAAGACATGTAACAAAGGTTACTTGTAGAAATCCCAATACAGAAAACGTCAAAGTTTTGAAAACAAAAAAGAAATGGCTTGCATGAAAGACAAAGTGTTTGTGACTATTATTGTTTATAATTACAATTATCAGTGAAATACTAAATCAACAAAAGCTTAGGCCCAATGCTATTAGCATCACCCTTGGTTATGTGCTGCCCATACACTTATGTTGCTAGCAAATTTAGACCAGTCATTGAGTCCCATTTAAACTAGAACATAAAAATGAGAAAACTGTAACAATATAAGAGGACCAAAAACCAGCAGGTGTCACAGCCTGCTACTAGTGAGACTAAATTAAATTAATTCAGTTTCTACTTTAAATGCACATTAAGAGTAGATATTTGCACAGCACATTGTCGGTTATTGTAATGTACAACTATTCTGTTCTTGCACTGACTGGCAAAGATCAGCTCCAATCTTGTATTATTTCCAATCACTTACTCTAACAGTGCTCTTCTAATTTCTCTGCTACACAGAACAGTGGATAGATGGACTGGCTACACCACAGAACACTTACCTTGGAAATCAAATCTAGAAAGAAACAGAGAAAAACACGGAACAAGAGAATAGAGTCAAATCTGTCTCCCAAACTACTTACCAATTCTTCTGAAAAAGGTTCCCCAAAATCAGAAGTATTTATGTAGTGATACAAATAATTTAGACATTCTCTTCTTACGGCTAAATAAGATTTTTTAAGAAAGGATGAAAAAGCACAGTCAAGAAAATGAGACAACAGTTTTCTCACCTTTGCTTTTCGAAGAACATGACCTCGACATGGAGAATTGTTTGTTGAGGGAGGTCTCTTCAGAGCTGCTGCACTGTTCACAGGTATTGAGCATTCAGTATCGCTGGTATCACAGCTGGAGATTGGAGAGTTTTCCAAAGTTCGGTGCTTGAAAATTGGAGACTAATGAAGAGTGAAAAGCCTATATTGAGTTTCCTCCAAGTAGTCACATGGGCAATATTTTCTATGTAGATTTAGAACTGCAGATAGTTTTTTTTAAGAAAACATATTCATAATAATGATGGATAAATGAAAAAGAGGTTAGAACAAGAGAAACAAACCAATATGTGTGTGTGTGTGTGTGTGTGTGTGTTCTGTGATGATAATTGAAGTTCCTTTCTGTAATTAAACAACGTTGGGTCAACTGAAGGAAATGATGCATGCCTTTCTGATCCTTCTGATGGCTGCTTTGGACACAGATCTACAGCCCAAGTCAGGACTGCTGTGCTCCATCATGAACACGTGAGATACAGCCCTTGCAAAGGGTGACAGTAATTGATAAGAAACCAGCACAAGTAGGTCTCTCTCACTGCATGATGATTTGGTGCATTTAAATCTCCCTAATACAGAGCAATGTCTCAGCTCCTGCACTTTTACAATCACTGAGGATAATGAGGTGCTACTTCTTGCACACTATCCAAACACATACTGCCTGTGATCCCCATCTACCTGCTCCTTGTTACTGTAGAAAATGTAAATAACACAGAATTAATTCTGCTCTTATTTCTTGGGTTTAATAAACCATTACAAAACTCTCAGTTCCCACTCATTTTTGCTGGAGCTGGGAAGGCAGAGCGCTCCTAGCCCATGGTACTGAGATTTGCATGTTTAATGGATTTGCATACCTGTGGGCTTGATGTTCCTGACTTGGGCTCAATAGCCAAGCCCAGTGTGATGCCACCAGCCAAGGCTTTCTTAAGGCTTTCCTTCACCTCGGTCAGTTCTAGCTCCAAGTTTACACGCTCGGCCTCCTTCTGCTTACACTCCTCTTCCAACTTCTTTAACTTGTCTTCAAGAATCACTTGGGTCTTCCTGCCTGTCATCCACAGCAATATTTTTATTTCAATAAGAAGATTAATTTGACACAGAAAATTTTCTTTCTAAAGAAGTAAGGAACAAGATCTCTACATAACAGTGACATCACAAAAAAAGTTATGTACTTTACAGAAAACATTTTTCTTAGCAACATGTGAGAGACTGAAATGTTAAAGGTTAATGACTTGAACAATTGGCCATTTGCAAAAGCAGCAGGGTGCTTTGCTGGGTCAGGCTTGCACTCTGAGTGTTTGAGTGTGTAGTGGAAAAACCTCTGGTCTGCATAAGAACAGCCCAGGAGCGGGGAGGGGGTGGGGGGTGGGGGCACCCACCACCCCAGGATGACCAGACAAACCAACCCTTTGTTTATCTCTTTGAGCCAGATAAGATGAAAGGCTGGCAAGAAGCAGATCCTTGGAGGTGGGATAATGCATTTTATCATGCCAATTTCCTCCCTTACACAAGTGGCTCAAGTGTAAAACTGCCACTCCCCACCCCGGGGACGGTACTGAGACATTCACTGGGTATTTATGTGTTCTGATAAAGCATAACTGGCTCAACTACACTGGTGTGAGAAACAGCAGTCCTGTCTTAGAAGGGATCATAAACAACCAAAAACCTCAGAAGCACCCCCAGACTCATTTCTGGGACCATCCACCAGAGGACTCTGCATGATCCACAGTGTTCATAGAATCAACCTGGTTGGAAGAGACCTCAAAGATCATCAAGTCCAACCCTACCACGGTTACTAGACCATGGCACTAAGTGCCACATCCAGTCTCATCTTAAAAACCTTCAGGGACGGTGAATCCACCACCTCCCTGGGCAGCCCATTCCAATGCCGATCGTTCTCTACGTAAAAAATCTCTTCCCAATATCCGACCTAAACCTACAAAGCTATTCGGATAATTAAGCCTACTCAGGTGAGAATTCAGCACCAAAAAGCACCTCATACCAGCATTGACTTCAATGGCTGCACGTAGATCTTTTCGTTCTTTTCGGAGCTGGGCCAGCCTATTCCGGAGTGCTTCTTTCCTCTTTAGCAGCTCCTCCTCTTTGCTTTGTAACCTCTTTGCATCTGCCTCCACACGATTCTTGCCATATTTGTACTGCTCTGCATCTGTACGTATTGGATTGTAGTTAATTAGGGTTCAAACTAACAGTAAAACACTGAAATATTCCCAAAGACCGAACATCACGTGAAGCATGTCATGGTTTAAGAAACTGGTTTGCCATTTCTCTTCCACTGGTTCTTTCTCAAGGTCCATGATTCCTGCCAAGTTCTGCAGCACAGCTACAGCAATATGGGATAGACAGTTTGTTCTCTGCATTTACACAGGGAAGATGACAGACACCAGTTACCTTATAGTGCATTGGTTTTGAAAAATGGCCTTGCCTTTCTGTATAGTTCACTGGCTTCAGCAGCTCTTTAGCTATGAACCCTTCATTTTTAATTGGAAGGGGTCAGAGAAAAAACTACCTGTCTGCCCTTTTGCTGGTTTCCATTTCTATTTCAAGTGCTGAAGGCACGTCTTTTCCCACCTGACATAAGAGAATACAAAGATGATCATGCTTCTTTGATTCTTGAGAGATTTCTTTTCCTTTTTAAACTTCTCATGCTTTCATTTTGTGGCTCACGTGTATCTGTGTTCTGATTTATGTCCAAGCCCCCTGCATACCTCTGCTCCAGTTGCAGACTCAAAGAAAATAGGTCAGCTAAGAGATCACTTTGTCTGCCTGCATATCTGAAGGCAAACTTTAGGACATTAAATCATTCCTGACAAATAGTTGTCAAACCAGTTTTAGTCAGTCTTCAGTAACTGAGATGCCTTTACTCCCACAACTGTCACTTCCAGCACCAAATGACCTGCATGGTTAGAAAGCTACTTACTTTTGTCCTAAAGTCTAACCGAAATTTTTCCTGTTGCCATCAAAGCCATGAATTCTTAAAAGTTTAAGAAGTTTTATCATGAGATTAAAAAGGCAGATTCATTTGTTCTCTAGAAAAAACCATGATTGTGACTCCATATTTTAAAAACATGATGATAGGTCCTTTTTGTCTTTTCTCCTGCAATCCATGTTAGGGATTTTCTTTTCCTGAATGTGCCACGCACCAACTGAAACCTCCTCTCCCTGAGAATGCATTTGAGCTGTTCAGTTGTCTTCTACCTTCTTCTTTTTCATTAATGATAAGAGTAAGTCCACTTTGTCTATCCCAGCTCCTCATCCTCCTTTTTAACAGGAATACAGAATTCCTCTCTGACCCAAATGAAGAATCATTATCCCTTTTTTTTCTCCCTTCCTGCTGCCCTCATGACTTTGCAGCCACATTTCCTATATATCACTCTTTATGACACGCTTTTATCCTCTGGTGTGGCTGGAGGATGGAGTCACCAAAGCACACAGTATCTCCTATTCAAAGTCTTGGTGGGAATATCCTTCTTGGCCTCTCAGCCACAGAAGAACCACAGTGGTTCTTTATCTTCTTTGCTAAGATGACAGCTATTCTGTGTATCCTCATGACTCGACTCCCAAGTGAGGCAGCAGTGAGGAGAGATACTTACTCGACGCCGTGCGCTTCACACAGGACACTGATTCAGATTTCTTGGGTTGGCTGTTTAAAGTTCTCCCTTTTCCGGTGATGCCATTAGTAGTCACAGGAGGCTTCTTGCCTTTAAACTGTTTGAAAACAAAAGTACAAATAGGCTCCAGCTATTCCTGTGCCACTGGCATTAGAGTCATCCTTTCATCAAGGGCAAAGCTTGACAGAAAGCTGCTTGCTCAGAGAGCCTTAATAGAGTGCATTGATTGAGCTGGAGACAACACTTTCTCCAGAGATGTCTCTGAGAGCTGCCTGTTCAGTGGGAGCCATGCCAGCAATCACAAGATAACAAGGGGATAAACTCTTAATTTCTGGTAGCATCACAGTCTCCAAGGTATTTAAAACTGGCATTTACAGTATGAAGAAAGCCATTGCAAGGCAGAAAAATATGTACCTTTGAAAAATTCTTTTACAGTACAGTAACACAAGTTTGTTAGAGTCAATTTCATACAGAAAAACCTATCAGGGTTTACCACACAAAAAATTCAACACTGTTTCTTATTTACTATATGACCTTGCCAGCCTTGCGGTGCATGGATTTTTTTTTTCAACAATATAAGTATTACTGTTTTAAAATGTTAGGAATTAACATATCCATTTTCCCTTGTACAACCTCTAGCTACTAATTAAAAGTTTTTCTTACTTAGAAAACCCTCTCATGATGGCCAGACAAGCTCAGAAGATTACCAGGAACAGAGCATTTCATGTTCAAGGGGTTTCCATTTACAGCACTCCCTGCAATGAACTGAACCCTGGGAAGATCAGCACTGTCCTGACTAATCATAGTGTTTCCACAGAGGATGCCTCAGCCAAGCACAGGGCGCATGTGTGCCATGCACTGTTCTCCTGCTTCCAAAAGCTTGTGAGGGCTGAACTGGGAGCTCACTGAGAAGCCTGCTGCTGCAGTAATTTATTCCTCATGTCTACCTCCAATTCTGCAACTCCACTGAATTCTAATATTCCAATTTGAAGTTTTTGTTAAGGATGAAGTGAGATAACACACAATATGAAGGGTACAAGGGAAACACCTATCTAACTCTTCCACGTCAGATTAGATTGAAAATCACCCATGGTTGTGATACATTCACAGGTTTATGCCAATGACCAGCTTTTGGGGACTGGCTACTGGCTTTGAGAAGGTCCCTGGCATGGCTGTGAGCAAGGCTTGCTCTGCCTCCCTGCTGGGCTCTGCCCATCTGCTACTGGGGCTGAGCACACAGGGCTTCATCTGCTCTGTACTTCATGTTCCAGCTGAGGTACAGAAGTCTGAACCACCCTCAGAAAGCTGCATACACATAGGCTTATTTTTGTTTCAGGGGAAGAAAATAACAGGCAGTAATTGAAATATGGTACATATAACTATACACAACATAATTTGTATAACATCAAGTTATGATACATATGTATATTCTCAAAATATGTAATGACAGTATATACAATATAGAGATTGGTACAATCCCAATGAGCCAAATTTGCTGTTGCAGTCAGGTTGTATTTCACTTATATCTTTTTTTTTAATAATTCATCACTGCCTAAGGAGCCAGAATGCAGCTAGACCTGCATTCAGGTTAAGTGTGGAAGGTCACATCTACTTTTTACTTATTATTCACAATCTGTAAGTCATCAAGAACACATAGGGAAAGCCTTTCCCAGGTACCAATACTTTCACATTGGAATTTACAGCTTTGCAAACCTGTTTCACTTGCAGTGAGCTCATGACTAAACTCCAAGCACTGCAGTGCTAACAGTAAAGGACTTAAACAGCACCTTCACAAAACAAACATGAACAGAACAGCCAACAAATAAAAAGCTTTGTTAAGTATTAAATAGTACAGTACCTGTGAGGTAGATCCCCTCCCCACAGCAGAGGTATTAGTGACAGACTGAGCAGAAGACAGATTGGATGAGACAGGGTATTTGTAATGGTTAGAGGAGAGTTTGTCAGTAGATAACCTATTGGGTTTCCTGTCAGCTGGCGGATAGCGCGCAAAGATTTTTGGAGACGGCAAGTTATCGTACAGGCCTGCATTATCATAAAGCATTTCTTCTCCAGTGTTCCTGCTACGAGAAGAAGGAAAGCCATCTTCTGGTTCCCACTGCAACACATACACTTTGGCAGTTAGTGAACAATACACCATGCAGACCCTCCTAGGTGAAGTTAAAACATTAGTAATGCTTTAGCCCGCAGCGAGCCCTCGGTGCTTGGCAAGCATTTGCTTATTGCCTACACTTAAATCAAACTACTTAGAGAGAGGTAGGTAGGACACCATGTGCAAAGGAAGCATTGCACTGCGTGGCTCACAGCCTTGGCCCTGAGCAAACCTATCATCCTCCCTGTTTCATGGCCTGCACCTTCAGTTGGTAGCTCTAGTACCAAGGGGCACAAGCAGACTGTGTTAACAGGGACATACTCATAGGCTACAGGGATGAATCTGTGGGATTACACCTGGTGCAAGAGTTGTTAGAAGTAATATGGTCTAGCACTTAGCAGAAGCCAAGAGGGTTTTTTTCTGTTTTTTTTTTTGTTTTTTGTTTTGTTCAGGCTTTGTGTCTTTCCCATGAATACCTGCTGCTGGTATGCTAGCAGTACGTATTATTTGATGGAGAATTATTGTGAGCTAAAAGAGTTAAAACAGCTTCTTTTTTATTTAATTTTTAGAGAAATGGAAAATTCAGCAGCATTAGTCCAGTAATTCATTCATATTCACAAAAGAAACCAACCTGGTTGCCAAATGTCCTTCCTTAACCATCCTGGCTGTGGTGATATACTACTGGTACCAAGGCACAAACACATCCAAGACTGCTCACCACACATGTGACTATGCATTTTTCCCAAAAGGGGCTTTCTAACATCTTTCTGACATTACTAAGATGTTGGAGCACTGAATGTCCAGTCCATTTCACACTTCAAAACTCCTAATTCCTCTTGAGTTCACCGTCAGTGGGGCACTTTGTGCAGCAGCCCAGACTATGAGCTGACTAGGGCTGTAGCTCCCCTGTAAATCTTCCTGAGGACCACATATTGTTGTGGGTTAGCACCCACTATGTGTTAAATCCTCTTACACATCTGCCTATGATCAGCTCTGCAATTTATGAATAGGGAAGTGACCACTGTGGTTCTCCTTTGGGAGGAACAGTACCTGCTAGGAATATAGTCCCAGGGACTGAGAATTGTTTGAGTTTTGGTGTTTTTTTATAATAGACATCAAAAAGTGCCTGGTGTAACTGAGTCCTTAATTTTGCCAGGTACAATGGGATCTAAAAAATACCCCCTCAAGTGAGTATTGTATTTAAGGACTTGGCAACAAATCATCAACAGGCAACTGCTTTCTAAATGCACTTTGGCTCATGTGCAGGTTAATGTAAACAATATGTCCCATGCCCCCTCTATTCTGTAGGTGTGAGAGGAGTTTGCAGCCCCCAGTCAAAAAAATATGAGTTCATTTGGAAACTGCCCAGTGGGGCTTTTTAGATAATATAATTTTCAGATGTCCATGCATTCAACACATGCAAACCATTTGTTCTGTGCAAATTCAATTCTTACCGATCCATTTATGCAGGGAACATCATCATAATGAAGTGCCATTCCACTTGGACAGGCGTAGCCATTGGCAGTGCTTCCCCGGTATGGATTTGTAGATATAACTCTCCTGTTCATGAAACTGAATAAAGCAAAATAAAAATAATAAAACCCAGCACTTAAACCTAAGTCTAAGTGGTGATTCAGTGGCATGCTCCCTGCGTCTGATTATGCAGCCTGGAAGCACATAGCTTCTCACTTTCTGCAGGACAGTTTTTCTTCCTTTGCTATTCACACATTGCTGCTAGCAGCCAATATTACAACATATGTTCCTGTACTCTGTTCTTACAGTGGGGATATGACAGTGTGAAGGCCAGGAGGGCAACAGCTGTGGCTGCTCAGTGGCATGTTTACATGGGAACCTGCTGATCTGTGTTATACACCAGCTTGCCAGTGTCCTACAAATGTTCCCTTGTTGTCTGCACTGGGAAGAAGCAGGTATTCCCAGGGGGATTCAAACCTTGGAACTGAGAGTCCCAACAATCAAATCCAGCAAAAATTTGGGAGAAAAAAAAAGAGTGGAATTTCAGTGAAATCTAAGTTAGCACATCTATCAAAAACTTCCAGAATAAATCCTGCCTCAAAATCTGGGAATTTTTCCTTTCTATAGCAGAATGTTTGGCTGGGTATGGCACTGTGCTTCCCAACTCTCTCTGGGTACTTTTGCATGCAAATACTCTATATGCTCATCCTTGCTCTGTTTCACATGGTTGATCTGAGTCCACTGGAAACTTCAAAAGGGATATATATATATCTATTTTTTAATTAATTCCCCCTTATCCTGTCCCAATCAACACTACAGCCTTTTTTTTTTTTTTTCTGGAATTCTGCAGAGCATGTGCAAGATATCATGGTCTATAATGGGTTTGCAAAGTTCTAACAATACAGAAAATGGCAGAATTGTGCCCAATAGCAATAATGACCCCATGGGTGAGTTTTCCTTCATAGAAACTCCTGGAACTGAATGAGCTATAGAGTGAGACACCAAATAATTCCTATAGCTTCAGGTGTACGTGAATGGCAAAACAAAGTTTTTGATCCCAAACAATGGAACTATTCAGACTCCGTGCTGACATTCATAAAGCATGATAAAGCACTGCTAAAGCAGAGAGGGTCTTCTGTAGCACTGGCAGGAGCTCAGGAATGCTGTGGTTTCAACAGTTGCTTTCTTTTGGCTTTGGAATAACATGGAGTCCATTGAATTTCTCATTTGGAGAGAGAACTGGGGCTCACCTGAGCTACAGGAGACCGAGGCTCAGAGACCTGCCCAGCCTGGTGTGAATTTTTCAGGGCAGTATGGGGATGGAATAATCATAACACAGAAGCTTTCTTTGACTTCAAACAAACTAACAACAAAAAGCCCAGAATGAAAATGTTTTTAACTTTATCATATCTCATACTTTATTAGACATTACTACAGGGTTGCATTTGTTTACTATTCTTAATGAAGAGCATTGCTCAAGTGTTTCTGGTTGGTCTGAGGAACTGCATTTGATATAATTATTGTATTTTTTTCTATTTAAGTGGCTTTAATGAGAGTGATACACAATAACCATGTCTTAAAACTGGGATATTCATTAATGACATCTGATGCACCTGTACTATTTCCACCACCAAGGAAAGCTAAGATTTATCTAAGTATCTGCAAACACTTCATGAGCATTATTTCACTAAACCTCGATAATCCTGTTTTCAGATGCATTCATGTAATTTAATTGCACTCTGAAACTGCTAGATGGAAAAGGAAATAGAGCAAACCTGCTTGGAAGCACTTTTTCTTCAGCTGCTCCTAGACACCTAATGATTTAGACAATGATTTAGACAAAGGAAATTGATGGAACTATTAACAAAGAGACGATAGTTTTGCAAAGCATCAGTCTCAGGAAATGAACAACCAACAAACCAACATGACTGTGTGATAATCAAAGCTTTAATGGCAACTGCAGTTAATTTGGAATACTGAATATTCATTCTATAAAGGGCAAATATAGTATTTTATTAACACTTAAATATCATTGTAATTTCTCCTCATTTACTAAGAGCAGCTGAAAATCAGCAGACAGCTACTCTAGTTGCTTATCAGCAAGTCCTTACAGGCTCTTGAAGACACCCAATGAATTTAAACTAATTCTTAATAGGGGAATTCTGTTATTTTGCAAGTTGTTTGACATTCCTTTCTAACATGTGGTCTAGTTGCATATGTTTTCTCACTTGGCTCCAATTAGTATCACATTTTTGCAGAAAAGGAAAGCTATGCAGTATTCAGGGGGAAAAGGTTACCATTCTATTTCTCTTAAATGTGGTTATTGCTAGATGCTGACTGAAGCAAAAATACATGTCAACACAGGATAAACTTCTTGAGCCCTATTAACTTCTAAACAAATATTAACATAAGTCTGTATGCTAAGTGCATTTTAATTCTATCAAAATTATCTGGTTTTCACAAAACTGGGCTTGTGGTAACACTGAGTCACTTTGATTTCTATCAGAAGTCATTCAAAACAGATTCTGACTGAAAGCTGTGCATTTACTCTTTTTAAACTACTCTTGGCACCTCTCTAATGGCAGGAGGATCTTCTGTAGGAAAACTCTGAAACTTTTATACCTTTTTTTTTTCAGTCTGTTTAAAGTCATGATGGGCAGATGGGATGTGATTCTCTAATGTATTAAGTCACACAGATTCCAAATTTGTGTGGGGTGTCTCATTTTGCAGTGAATGACACCTTTGCCAACTGTCTTCTGGCCACCCACTTTCCTGACTGCAGGAAACCATGGGGAATGTCTGCAGCAGGGCATCCCACCTGTCCCAACTATTTCTTCACTCCCCTTTCTAAGTAACTTCATCTAGCCAAGGAAAAATGACAGTCTTTTTGCAAAAAAGTCTACTTGAATGCCTAAACATGTCAATCACTACACATGCATTACCTTTCTTAGCACGGGATCAGAAATGGGGAATTCACCATACCACACTGCACCCTAGACACTTTCCCAACTGCCAGTTTCTAAATTAAACCCCAGAAATTAACTGGACAGGGGTGAGCTCTATGAAGTTTTTAATTAATCAAAAAGCACTCAAGAAGGAAACACTGAGAATGTGACTATCCAAGATTTCAATTTGCTATACATTTTTAGTGTGCAGCATATATTGGCCAATAATATGCTGCATATATTGGCTATACATACAGCAACTGCAGCCAATAGATAAAAGTGAATTACACAGATGCATATTTCAGCATATTTGGATACTGATTGTTCTAAATCTTCAGGCAATATAAAAGATTAAAATATAGCATTTGATAAGGGGATTTACTGAAAAAATTAGTAAAGCTCTGAGTAAAGTTGCATAGTGCCTTGCATTTTTTACAGCACTTAGCAGGATGCCAACACAATAATCATAAACACATCTAACATGCTGCAGTGCTGAAGCACTTCAGGAGTTCGATACCTAGCAAAGGGGGACGTGGATTTTGATAAGGTATGTTGGCAGTGGAGTCAACATATGGATAGAAATTCTCAAAGCACTAGAGACAAACACCTCTCACCAGAATGTCTGTTTTGCTGCCTGGATGACGCTTGCCGTCATTTCCACGTCAATGTAGTCATAGTGCAGAGCTCCGGGGTCTGTCGAGGACCCTGTTTCTGCCAGCAGAATTCCAATCCATCTGCCCATGTCTTCAGAGGAGGATGCCTGTGAGGAGAGGGCAAGAACGTAGGTCAGGTCTTTGCTCTGCCACTGAGCTGAGCATTATTGCAAAACGGCGCATTCCTCTTGGCTGACAGATTGCTACCCCATTGTATGAGAGATTCTGGCTTCACTCTGCTCAACTCCTAAAACCCCAGGATTTCTTATTAAGTCTGCTGCACTGGAAGGAGTGCACTTTAATAAGCTATGTGCTCATCAGTTATGATGTAATACAAAGTAGGCAATTGTCAAAAACAAGAAGAAAAAATAATCATTTAAAGCTAGTGGACTTAGATGCAAGCAATGCTTATTTTAGACTTCAGAATATTGAAAGCTTATTACTTTCCTGTGTTAAGCTGGGGGATTTCAGATAGCATGACTCCTGAAAAGAAAACCTTACTGCTAATTAGAAACAAGAGGGAGGAGGGAGTGAAATAGTGAGATTTCAATGTTCCTTTTTGAAGAGTTTCAATAAATTCATCTAGATGATGGCATTCATTTTCCTAATGGCACAAATAAAAATGTGAATACTATTAAAATAATTTTAATTTTTTCATATTTTGCTTTAAGTCACCAAAAGTTAAACAGCAGCAAAATAAATAATGGATAAAATTTGGGAGGGGGAAAGGAAACTGTGCAGTTTCTATAGTTCTCTTTTTTAACTATTTCATTGCCTTTCACAGTTCTTTTGAGCTGTTTTGTAGTCTTTCAACTTCTCTGAACTGCTTTCAGGTAACAGGCCTGGTTGCAAGGACAGGAGACTAACATGACCTGTAGTCAGAAACCTAAAGGTGTCAAAGTCTTCCTATATCTTCATTAGACTTGGCTTTAAGTGTCTTCTCATGTCAGGTTTTAAAATATGATGGATAAAGCCCCTACAGAAATCCTGACTGACATACCACGGGTGAGGTGTGACCTTGAAGCACGAGGAGCTGTGTGTACCCACGTGGTGTGTCACAACACACAACAGGGTGCTGGCACATGGTATTTCCTTACAGCACAATTACCTTAATGCAGACACAGACTAAGCAAAAGGAGTTCACATAAATAGCAGACAAATGAGAGTTAAGAGCTCTAGAGCTCTCATCAACAGTGATCTATTATTTAATTATTGCTAAGCTATCTACCCAAAGTAATTATATCCTTGATGGAAAAGTATGCCTATAAAAGGAGCAGGGATATTTTAGTAGCAGGTCAAGGGAAGGTCAGTGTAGAGAAAAGCATCTTACTGAGAAGACTTCTGAACTACATTAAATCTCAGTTCTTTTCTTTGTCTACAACTCTCAATATTTCTTTTCTCCTTCCAGTATTTATTATTCAGTTCTGCAATAATATTATTCTAGAGTTTATTTCTTTGACTGGTCAGGTTGTATGAAAGTGCTTCTCTAATTTAGCTTGTGGGTGTTCCTACAAGTCCTAGCCATGAGCAAGCACTGCACCTCGAGCACAGCGACCTCCTGCCCATTTCGGAGCAGGCGGAAGGTCAGGGGATGCTTCGAATCCAGTCCCAGGATGACTTCACAGCCACGGAGAGGGATAGAAACAATGTGTGTCTTCAGATCTGTCCTGTCCTTGTGGAAAATGAGTTTATTGTCTTTCACTCTGCACCAGCGCTCGCGCCAACGGTTATTAGAGAGCACGTTGAGATATCCTGCAATGAAACGAAATGTAAGATATTTTACTTCTGACTTTTTTTGAAAAGAAAAAGAATAGAAACTTTTCAATGTAATGCCAGCACTTAAGTAACTTGTTCCTCTTCTAATAGGTAGTCCCAAAGGATTTTAGGAAGACAAATAAATGATCATGCCCCACTTCTTTTAATGAAAACTTTCACTGTGCTAGTAATGTAGGAAAAAGGCATATAAACATGTGATCCTGCTCTCATGCAAGTAGCTGTTCTGTGTCAGACACTGCAGCAGCTGGATGAGCAGGAGAACACCAATTCTCAGGACTTTAGTAAGAACAGGAAAGGGACAGTGAGAAAAAGGTACATACACAGCTCACAGAGCCTCTTTGTGGGTAATGGCTTTGATAGCAGTGTTGGACCAAAAGTTTCTGGGAAAATCACAGCTCGTGTTACGTAAATAGGCAATGAGTTACCTGCTCTAACACCCAAAAGCAGTGTTTTAAAGATCTCACAAGTGTTGATGATCTATTTTCTAATCTCATTTTGAAATAAAAATGTACATTTGGTTTGCAGCACTTGTAAACCAGAATTTAAAAGATTGCTACCTCTGTGAAGAAAAATACTGGCTTAAAATTCAAGAAGAAAATATGTATGAAATTTAGCTAAACTTTAAGACAAAAGTTTAAACAAAGATTATTTTTCCCCCTCAGGGATGCTACAGTTCCCTTATAACAGACTAAAATGTCATTAACAAATTGCCTTTGAAGAATATCTACTTTTCTTGTCACACTCTTTATCAATACAATGTCTAGGCATATAACATCATTCAATGGGCAATGTTTTGTGGTTTTTCTTTGCTGAGCCATAGCAACAATCATTCCAGACTCAAATCTTACAACCAAAGCAATGCCCAATTTTCCTGCCTTATTTAGTTTGGGAATGAAAAAAAATTTAATTTTACTTTTGTATTCACATTACAAATAGTACATGAATTCAGCATGTTGTTGCTTCCAAACAGGCTACGAGGGAAATAAATGATATCTTGCAAAGGCCAAAAGTAGGTTCAACAATTGTCTTCTATCTCAGATCTGATTTTAATTTAATCCTGTTGGAGAGCTATCTCTTTGGTTTTCATTAAAACTATGACTTATTATTAATTTTTCTGGAATTTCCTTCCAGCATGATGGTTTCAATGTTGATGTGTGATCCAACAGGATACAGCAGATCAGAACAGGGAACATCTTGGAAGGTGCTATAAAAAACCCCAAGGATGTACGCAATCCTTCGATATTTGGCTCCTTGTGACAATCACACTCTTCAGCTCTTCTCCCTCCTCCTGTAACAAAACTGTATTGCTGTGCATTATATTACAATCCCTAGAAATGAAAAACCCCTCACATGCAAGCCAGATGGCTTGTTTTGAAGTGAGAGTACTTTTTTTCAGACAGCACCTTTTCCCCTCTGTTCCCAATGCACATCTCAGGAAAGTTCTCCCCAAATTCCTACTTCAGTTGAACTAAGCAGAATCCCACACTTTTCCTTCCACATATGCTTAAACCTTCAACAGCTGACATGACTGAAATGCCCTGAGTGTGTTCCCAGCTGGGGCATTAGTACTTCAGCTTAGCCTAGGCAGTCTAGGACCACTGATGTTGTAGGGAAGAGGTTTCCCATGACTCTAAGTGCAGGTGCAGTTTTCACTGTAGCTGGGTGTCCCCTGCAGCCCTGCTGGGATTTCACCTTTGTTCATGAGAGGCAGAGCCTTCTTAAAGTGTAAAAGCAATCAGCTATGAAGCAGCCCCCCAGAGGGCACTGGACTGAGTCACATTTCTGGTGGTGAGAAACTCCTTCTGCAAAGACTTTCTGTACTGACCAAACCTTAAACACATATAGTTTCCTATAAAATCTCCAAGTGGTGTTCAGTAGAGCTAAATACAGCAAATAGTAATGGCTGTATTTATGTCCATATCCAAAATAATGATAGAAATACTAGGAATTGCATTGTACAGCTGTGGTTAACGTCTCACATAATACAGAGTAATCAATGGAGTATGAGAGCCCGGAAGTTTGAGCTGTTATGGAAGCCAGATGCTTTGGACCATGCATCTGGCTGGACACAGCTTTTCCCAGCTGTTCTTTTGGTCGATAAATCACATCCGTACTTAGGCGATGCATAGACATATATATACACACTTATTTAATCAAAGTTTGCTTATATGAATGATTCCCAAATTGTGGCCTGAAAGCCACCTGTGATCTATGAAGTTCTCTCTGGTGGTCCATGGATCTCCTTCTATCACCTTAGGCGAGCATCTATCACACTTCATGCTCTGATGAGTTCTGCCAACTGTGGCCTAATCACAGACTTCTGAGTTTCCCAAAGTTTTTCTAGTCAATTAAAGGGAAAGGTGCATATTCAAACTCGGAATCTGGTGCTACTGCTTCAAAGCCTAGTACAGAAATTTTTTTTGGAAGGGCTTGGGTGAAAGGTGGTTTCAATCTTATTCATGCATGGAAGTGTTATTTAATACTGGAGTACCAAAATGCAAACAGGAGAATGTAAATACATTGCATTGCTTTAAAATACCAAAGCTGTAAGGACATCAGCTAAGTGCATTGCACAAAGTCCTAAATTGTGAGCAAACCTTAACAGCTAAGATACAAAACATAACTATTTTCTGCAAGTCTTTTTATACACTTCCTTGGTGCTGCCAAGCACTACAGCTGTCATATGGAGTAATGAAAATTGGGAGTTAAAATAGCTTACTAGAAATTTGTTAGCTCATTTTGCCCAATATGTACCACTTCAGAAACCCATAATTAAACTCAAATCACTTTGGTTGAGGCCAGTCGACTGCTGTCTGCTATTCAATAAAACCATAGCACAATCTATTATAAAAGACATGACCACTTTCCAACAACCTTCTTCTAATTCCTAGCCTAAGCTTATTTCATAGTTCAACCTAGATTCATTTTAGAATCATTTGTTTGAGAACAGCTCGTTTCTTTCTGCTTCTGTTCACACTTCACTTCCCTCTGGCCTTGGCAAAGAGCAGTGATATTACGTCTGAGCCTATGCTATTATTTTATTTTAAAAGTCAAATTCTTTTAGTCTCTTTTCAGATGACAAACTCTTGATTACTCCTCTTGCAGTCTAAGTGCATCCTTCTGATGTTGGGAGAAGAATTATAGCAGTAAAAGGAACTTTAGAGAAATTTCTAGACTATAATTCTATAAAGTTTTAGTTGCAAAGTGCATTTAAGACTCAAGGAGAAAAGTCATTTACCACATGTTGGAACATCTTCTTCAGCTGATGAGGTCTGTTCATCTGTTGATGGCTTCTTCTTTCCTAAACCAATGATCTTCGTTATTTTTTTCCCTGTTACTTTAGTCACAGTGCCCTTGGTTTCCGTTTTTGAACTTTTTTTCCTTTTCACTATTAAGAAAGAAAAAGTGTGCATTTTCATTAACCAATGAATAGAGAGAAATTGAATAAAAACAGAAGTTCAGAGAAAAATATCCTGTGCAAGGTGAACATTTGCACAAAAGTTGCATACTGCAATGGCAAACACTATATGCCCTCTCTGATGACCTCTGTGCTATAAAAATCATGGCATTCTGAAGGGTAAGAAAAACAAAAATCAAGCTTCTAATTTTGTTTATTCTAATCAAGCTGCAAGTTTCTTCCCACAGCAGTCATCATCTAATTTGTCAGTATGACTGAGGTACCTGCATATAAATTTAGCTCATATACACAACAATAAAACTCCAGTCAGATATTTCTTCACTGTTCCTAAACATTTTCCTCAAAATACTTTAACAATTAAGTACACAACAAAGACAGAATATGCTTACCTAGCAGAAATATGTACAATTAGGTTAAGATATCTTATCAAAATGGACCTTTTAGAGAGACAAGACTTACAAATTAACTACCAACAATTAAATTACAGGGATCAGTACAAACATTCAATGTCGGCATGTTTTGGGATCATGAAAGAAAAGGCTCTGCTGAAAAGAGGTATTTTGCCAACACCCAGTCTATGCTTCCATCAACCTCATATGACACCAGGAGTGTTACAACTGTGCACTGAAGCATGCTGAGCTGCTGAATATAACATGGCAAGGACTATGGATATTTTTTTTAAAGTGCCTAACTGACTAAAATCCTACCAGGTTTTTTTTTTTAAAAAAGAGTTTCTAAGATTAAACATAATCAGGAAAACCAGACTTTTTATTTGTAAAGCAGAACAAACAAATCTTAGAAATTGCATTCAGTGCTTAAACTTGATTCCATCAGCAGAGCAAAAGTCTTTCTGCTAACTGCAAGGACAGCGAAAATTTCCATCAGCTTGTCCTGATAGATGATTCTGATGAACAATACATTTAGAATAGTTACTGATTGAGCTGCTCTATCTCTATCCTTGACATATCAGTTCCTTTTGCAACAGAGAACATTTAGTGGTTATGGACTTGCACAAACTGAGGAAAAAAAATGGACAAAATGTTCATGTGAGAAATGACTGTATGAATTGATGAGATGGAAAGAAGAACACATGGAAAATAGAGAAGCAGTTTGGGACTCACCATGGGATAATATATCATATTTGTTAGCAATCATGGAACATTATTTAGAAATTGTTTCTGCAGCCAAGACTGTACAAATCTGTCACCTGCTGCATGCAGTGCTGAGGGGGAAAGGCAGCTCTGCAAGTGCTGATTGCTGCTCCCCAGCCAACTCCAACACAATGGTGCACGCACAGAAGCAAAGGTCTAATTCTCTCTTTCTAGGGGAAGGGTGTTTACGACTTATACCATGCTCCCTAAACATGCAAAGAGCTCCCTCCTTGGAGGGAGGAAGGCCACTGTCCCATCTGCTCATGCCCCCCTGCCTGAGGGGTGACCTGAGCACAGCAATTTCCATCCCATGCAGCAGCAGCTGATGGCTGACTGTGGCTGTTGAGGGGGAGGAGATGAAAAGCATTCAAAAAAAGCCAGAGACTGAGAAAACCTCATTCCTCTGAGAGAGAAGCCCAAAGGAATCATTCCCACGAGCATGAACAGACAGTGGGATAAGCCTGTTTCAGTGGTTTTTTGTTTTCCTGTCCTGTCTTTCCTTCACATTGCTGTTTTTTTTTCTCCTGCAGAACTGAGAGGCAGCAGAAATAAGGCCTTCATGACTGAATCTTTTTGAGTCTGAAGAATATATTGATTGCCTGATTGCCAGCGATTTATTTTTTTTACACAAAAGCCTTTTCTTCTCATTTCCTTCCCCACAGCAAAGCAAGCAGCTGGCTAAGAGCAGAGCCGAGGCTGGAGGTGGTGCTGGCTGGAGATGACCATCCTCCAGAGCCTCCCTCCCCCTTAAATGTTTGCTATCCATTATTTTAAGAACAGCATAACTTCATCCAGGACCCTGAAAATGATGCTAAGCAAACTTCAATCTCTTTGTAGTCATTAATGCCTATTATTTTTATTACTGCAAACTGAAGGTCACAATTTCGTAAAGCAACCGGTATTTTTAATGACCTTCCTTGAGGCATCTAAGCTGGGCTGCTTTTCCAGCAATACATGCTCCATCAGCATACCTCCCATGGGATACCTGAGCCACCAGGTACTTCTGGACATGATGGTAAACACAGGTTTTGGGTCACAGATGCTTCCCAGCAGGTTTCAGTGACTAAAATGGTATTGAGTTTTATGAAAGCTCAGTAGAAGATTTTACAGGGTGAAATCTAGCAATGTATTACAGCTTTTAGAAACCATGAAACCTGACATTGTTCTATACTGTTGGATATGTCAAAGATCTCTATAGCCAGGAAATGCTGGAAAATGACCCAGGGAGAAGATAAAGGAAATGAGTCAAAGGGCGAGACAGTGCTGGCACCAAGGTCGGTATTGACATTGTGCTCACTGCAGCTCATGTTACCCTTCATTTAACAGCTGCAGAAAAATGTCGTATCTAAACCATACCATTGCTATATGGCAAGTTAATGAAGTCACAGAATTTATTCTGCTTTGGGGAGGAGGCAAAGGGATAGGGAAGAGAGCACAGGGGTTGAGTGTCTTAGATATAACTCAGACAAAACTCCCTCTGGGTTTGGGATTTGCCTTTGTTAGATTAGAAGTACTACAGAACATACATGACTCCAAAGTAGCATAGGCAAAATTATAGACATATGTACTCACAAACCCACTGGTATGACATGACCATATACATTTTAGCATGCTAATATAAATAATCATATATAGTAACTTGTGTACATGGAGGTATCTGTGTATGTACACACAGATATAAACTGTGTATATATGTGTATACATACATATGTGTATATATACATGCACAGATCTATAAAATATGCATGATTCTTTCCTTCTAGTCTTCAATGGTAGGTTTTTTGCTTAGAAGCTGTATACCCACTATTTATGTTGCCCTTACACAGTTAAAAAAAACCTGACAGTTGCCTGTAGTGGTCACCCAAGCTCTGAAAAACTGTGCTTTTCAACACAGAAAAGGCCATGTCGAAATTTCTATATTCTGTTTCTTACTAATTATATTGATTTCACCTGTACAACAACATCAAATGCCTTCTGTTACTACAATAATTTAAGGATCCATTCTTGACATACTTCAGCTTTCAAGTTAAGTTGAATCCTAATAAAAAGATTCTAAAACTTTACTGCCTATTTTGAAAAGATAGGTATTTCACTGCCCATCACTCCTTAATATGCACACATTATTTCCACCAAGGATCTCTGGATCTGTGACATACCTTGTTCTTTCCCATTGCACACAGTAGTGATGCCATTTTCCACAGCACCCTCCCCATCTGAACTTGGCCTCTCAAATGACAACTTCTGCAGGGGCAAAGAGATTAGTTGACATACAATGTTTGCACCTTTGTCAAATCAAGTGTCATGAGTCAATTTAAAAGTATGGTTACTAAGAAATAAAACACATTTCAAGCTTTCATCCACTGGGAAAAGAAATAGAAGATAGTAAAAACTTCAGTTTTAGAGGCTTTAGAAAATAACAGAAACAATAAAGTCATCTATATTTGAAAGTGTATTCAAAACAGTGAAGTATTCATAATTCACAATATATTTGTAACAGATTTCTAGACTCTAAAGGTTGCAATAAAAAATTACATGATCAGATAAGAATAATGTAAAAAGTATCTGTTTAAATAATGCTTCGTATATGCATTTACAATTCCAACTTATCAGAAAATAGTGCATTCCTACAAGGTACTTCAACACTTTCAATATATGTAAAAAAGAGGCTTTTGAAGCAAATTTGTAGCACTGATTATTCTGTAACGGTTGTGCATGAGACATGGAATGTAGCACATAAAACTTATGCCAGAACAGTTCTGGTGACCACATTACTCCTGAGTGGTGAAGCCATGAGAAGATGTGCAGATTAACATAAAAAGGAACGAATCAGAAGTTTCGTTACAGCTTCTCGTGACAAGCATTTTAGAAAAAAACTATTTTATGACACTTCCGGTTACTTTGTTAATACTGTGCAGGTGAGTGCAAGCATGCAAACACAACAGCTTTTGACTTTGAAACCAGGAGGTCTGAGCTGTCTGGGAATGTGCATTGTTCTTGGTTTCTCAGGTGCAAAGCAACATAACAACACCGACAATGACATCCTTCCAACATCGGGTGAAACTTGCCATTAAGAGTTTGGTGATGAAACCTTTGGAAGCGAGATTTTTAAGCATGGTCCGCAAAGGGATTTGGTCGCATGGATGCATTGATGGAGCAGGGGCTTAAACTGCTGCTGGTAACGTCCTGATCATTCAGTGCAGGGCTGCCCACTTTTCTAATTCTTGCTCTCACATCTTGCTGAGTCAAGGCAGCAGAGACAATGACACATGAACAGACAAGTTTTTGTATTGAGACGTGAATGCTTGAAAGGGTCTGCCAAAACAGTGACCTCAGCATGCCCAGGGAGCTCTTGAAGGACTAAATTCTCCAAAATAAGAGACTTTCCCTTAAAACTTTAGTATAATCTTCAGCTATTCTTCCCTGAGAGACACAGCCCTGCTTGCTCTTTGCACTTGATGGAGAGCATCTCTCTATCACAGCACATGTATCAGACACACTTAGTCTGCACTCTTCTAGATGCCTGAAGCTGGTTATGAGCCCATTTGGGGGTTGATTCTGGCCAAATGAACCAACATGGCAGAAAACTCCTCTGTAGGATGTGTAACATATCCAAACAAACAAAACCAACGCAGGGACTGTGTGCCTGAAACAGCAACACAAGTCACAGAGTATTTACATTCAGTGCCTACTAGTGTCTCTTTAAGTAATCATAAGGAATTTCACATTCATCATTTTGGTAACTTTACCTTTTCCAGCTCCATCTTGTGCACTGGAGAACTAGACAATGGCCCATCGGAGTCTACAGCTCCCGTACAGTTGCTGCACACATCTTTTATAACCTTAGGAGACAAGGCAAAACTTATTAATTACTCATGAAATACAAATCAGAGAAATTATATATGAATGTGAAGGGAGATGGAAAGGAGAATCACACAGACATTTACTAGGCTCACAAGTGTCAGGCAGGCTGCCACTACAACTTCTCCACATTGCCTCCCTAAGTCATTTCATTTATGACCCTGAGGAGACAAAATGTCTAGAGGTGGAAGGTTTCATTTTCTAGACAAACTAAACTCCAAGGCTCTCCTAAATAAAGAAACCAATAGCACTGCTGATTTCCATGTGCTAGTTTTACAATATGAACTCAGTTGACCAAATTAATTTCATTACAGTGACGAAAATGTGGGATTAAATCCAAGGTCCCTCGAGACAATGGACAAGAGTTTTGCATAACACACTACCCAGATGCTCTTTTTTTGCTATTGGAGAACTAATGAAGTGCTATTGACTTGAGAGTTAATACTGCCCAGTGATATCTCATGGCTTTTTTGTATTATACTTGCACATGAACTTTGAAGTATAGGTCAAAGTAATTATAAATATGCTTATAGAAAATGGAAATGGCACCTTCTCTTTGTAAAAATTTAAGGAAAAATCTAGAACCTGGAATTTACCAATATTTTTATAGAATCTGAAGGACTTTATTGACTTGAGAGTTAATACTGCCCAGTGATATCTCATGGCTTTTTTGTATTATACTTGCACATGAACTTTGAAGTATAGGTCAAAGTAATTATAAATATGCTTATAGAAAATGGAAATGGCACCTTCTCTTTGTAAAAATTTAAGGAAAAATCTAGAACCTGGAATTTACCAATATTTTTATAGAATCTGAAGGACTTAAAAACCTGAAACAATATAAAAAAAAAAACAAAACCTGAAACAATATAAATGCAAAAATACATATTATCAGTCTGAAATTGCTTGTCCTGATGAGGACATACTCCTGATCCAGACTCATGCTGAGGGGCTGCTGAGCTCTATACCACTGACAATAACCACACTGCCACACAAGGATAGCAGAGGCAAGACAGTTACAAAAGGCATCAGACTGTGTTGGAAGCTTCACTGCTAGGCATATTTCTCCTTGACATGTACTTGTGCATGTTACACATCCAGCTCCTCCTTTTACACTGTTTGAAGCAAGCCTGGCTAGTAGAGAGGAGGATCTGACACGAGAACACCTAGTTCCAGGGAAAGCAGCAATTAGCTAACTGTCAGAATCCAGATTTCTTTTCAAGGAGGGAAAAAGAAAATCAACAAACAATGCCTTTTTGATTTCAAACTGAACAGTTTTGATGAGGAAACTATTAAAAAGCTAAACAGTTCTTTCCCAGAACTTAAGTTGCCTTTAAGGGTGAAGCTAAAAATCAAACATTTATGGGCTTACAAAGACCCTATTGCTACTCAAGAGCACATAAATGACAGGCATTACATGCCATAAAGAAAGGAAGAGCACCAGCCCTATCCTATGGAGGGAAAACCCGGGAGCGAAAGAAAGATTAAATCACTCAATCAATGTCACATAAAAAAATTTAAGCAAAGCTGGGAAACAAACCTACATTTTCATTTCTGAGCTAGTACGGTCAAACATTTCACCATCCTTTATCTTGTCATAGAAACATAAGTCCAGTATTACATGGCACTTGACATCCTTTGTAACAGAAACTTTAGATACATCTTTTGCAGAGCATTTCACCTCAGAGTTAAACACAGCCCTAAATTCCCCAAAATCGTAAGAATTTTTTTATGTATGTTGTTTCATTTTTCAATTGCTGGTCCTCAGTATGGTGTAAATACACTGCTGTTTTCTTCCTAGAGAAATGGGGCTGTACGATTTCTGGGAACATTAATTTCTGTCTCCTGCGAGACCCTGATTCAATGGCTCATGTTTTCAGCATCTGCACACACCACACAGTTAGTTAATTTTGGCAAAGGCAGATAGTAATGGGAGTTACAGACAGAACAGAGGGAAATGATTTGGCAGCACTAACTGAATAGCATGTGCAAAGTCATGCACTCAAGTAAATCCGGTTCTTATCATACCTCACATATTTAAGGAGAAGCTAAAGTGTTTAATTGGGTTGTAATTAAAGTTTGATTTTAAAAAAATGGCATTAGCAAAAGGGAGTTGGTGGCAGGATCTGAAGTAAATGCATATTCAAGGGTACAACACTTCATTTGGGTTCAAGAGGTTCAGTGGCAAAGACTTGCTCATCACCTTCTATGTGCAATATAAATGTGCTCAATGCACAGCATAAAACTTAATCTTCTACAGCTCACCAGGATGAAATGTCTTTAATATATAATGATTGCCTGGATGCACTCTCTATAATTACGTTTGCAGACAGCTGCCATTATAAATCTGGTTTTCTCATGCATATAGCTTTAGCTCAAAATTTTAAGGATAAAACATTCCACCAGTGTTGCCAACTTGCATAATTTCAATCATAAGACTCAAAAGTTCTTCTCAGTTTTTTCTATGTTCCATCTCCCGGAGTCATATGAAAACAAAAGATCACTCTTTTCATTAAAAAATAGTTGTGAGTGAGAGTGGAGAGTGGAGGTGACCAAACTTTTATCCATTACAATGAAATGTATAAAATATGAATCAATGTATCTCAATGGCTCCAAAATTGGAAAGGAACAAAGGGAATCCCCAAATGAGTTATTTTTATTAAAATGGCATCATCTGGAAGGCTGTACTGAGAATACCTTGTAATGGCAAATATCATTAACAGTTTAAGTTTTCTCACACATTAGGAAAGGGAAATAATTCCCTTTTTCTCACCACAAATGCCTTTGCACGTTACATATACATGGACACAGGGTGATCTGCCAGGAAAATCAAACTCAGATCACAAACAGACTATGTATTCAAATACATAAAATGTATGAGCAAAGTTAATCAGAAAACTGAAAACCTTTCGTTTCCTTGGATAGCCTCAAAACTAAATACATTTAAAATAATCTTCTGCTAGTCCATTGCAAGAATTTAAAGTACCACAATTACCATTACAATGTTACAATTAGCAGATTTCAGAACTGCCCCGTTCATAAGCAGACCTGGAAAAAGCTTGTGCAGCCTAAACTGTGTTATTATTCTTTATTTATAGAATTATAGAATCATTTAGGTTAGAAAAGACCCTTAAGATCATCAAGTCCAATCATTAACCCAGCACTGCCAAGTCCACCTCTAAACCATGTCTCTAAGTGCCACATCTACACAGTCTTTTAAATACCTCCAGGGATTTTGATTCCACCACTTCCCTGGGCAGTCTGTGCCAGCACCTGACAACCCTTTCACTGAAGACATTTTTTCTAGTATCCAATCTAAACCTCTCCTGGTGAAACTTGAGGCCATTTCCTCTTGTCCTGTCACTGGTTGCCTGGGAGAATGTAGCAACCCCACCTCACTTCAACCTTCTTGCGGGTACTTGTAGAGAGCAAAAAGGTCCTCACTGAGCCTCCTCTTCTCCAGGCTAAACAACCCCAACTCCTTCAGCCACTCCTCATAAGACTTGTGCTCTAGACCTTGAATTCCAAGCTGGATCAGGATACATATCAGAGTAGGCATTGAGTGCAGTCACATGAGGCACAGAGGAGAAATATTTGCAGGTAGAAAGCTTGAAAGATACTGTGTCCTGAGCCATTGGCAATGACAGGTGAAGTCAGTGGAATTTGTGCCACATAGTGTGTCTGGAATATTTCTCTCTTTAAAACTATCCTACTACACAAGCACTAACATTTACTGTAAGACTTTCATACCTACAAATTTCTGTAATTCTTGTATCCTATTTTAAATGACACACCACAACTGGAGGCAAAATACTCGCCCTACATTTATTCTTTCTACACACAAACTCAAAAGAAGCAAATCCTTCCAGCTATTTTAAAGATCCAAATTCCAGATAAAAAGCACGGACTTTGTAGTAAAAACAGAAAGCCAACTGCCTGCCAGCCAGTCCCTGCCGCATAGAAACCAAATAAATTCTGAGTAAAAGTACATTTGCAGATAGTTTCTAGTGGTTCATCTCTTTGGGATCTATTAATGAGGAAGACTAAAAGCTGTCCTGTCCTCAAGGAGCTTGCAGACCTCTCTTCTGGTGGATACCATGGGATGAGCTCAGGCTACAGGCTGTCCTTGCCGCAGGGATGAGATTGGAGCATCTCGGTTTGTCTCGTATTTTCACAAAACTCACAGGAGAATCTCACACTTTTAATGTGAATGAGTTAAGGGAGAAAGCTGACAGCATGGCTGCACATTTGCTTTACTTCATGTAACCAGGCCAGAAATCCTTCCAGCCACCCACCCACTTGTCCCTCTCTACCCATGTGTTTCACAAATACTGGAATTGCTAGAAAAGGGATGGGCTGTATTCCCTGGCTCTGCCATTTAACTCCGAAAACAGGAATATGGTAAAGCTGAAATCTGCTTAAGCACAACACAGCAGAGGGAAAACGGTTTGGCTCCAGATGTAAGTCAGTATTTCTCATTCCTGAAACACTCCTTTTTTGCTGCTGGAAGAGTACTAACTTTCTGGGACTGTCATTTTGGCACAACTTAATTTCTCTCTCTCATGGACCCTTACACACTACATATGTTAGTGTCAATCTCTTCCTCCTTACGAGAGCACCAAAACTGCATTTTGCAGAGAAGAAATGCCCCAAAGAGTTTACCTAGAGGAAAACCTAGGCAAGAAAGGCAGAAATTATTCCCACCATAACCTATGCTTTAGGTCTCAAAATGAAACCCCCTTTACCTTCTCTACTGGAAAACATTATTCTCAAGCCTCCTCTAGCCTGAAAAGATTAATCTTTCTGCCTTCCATTTGTCTGAGCAAAGTGAGGATGAGATTCTGGCAGACTTGCAGCCAGCAAGCCTATCTTTAGGGCCTGTGTATTCCCTTAAAAATACTTTTCTGACTTACTCAACCAAGGCAACCCCTGTAGCATTTCTCCTGCATTATTACCATGAAGTCTATTGCCATATATGGCCACTGGATCAGGCAGAGCCCAGGGAAGGAGGTGCTGGGTGGCTGGAGGCATTGCTGCTCCAGGGGCAGAGGTACCCTGTGGCAAGGGGAGCTGCATCCCCAGTCTGGGCAGTGCTGAGATGCAGGTCTCACTTTGGGCTGTAAATCTGAGCCAGGTATGATTTAAATAATATTCCATTCAAAGCTGTGAGCAGGAGAGAGGAGGAATAGCATGTAGTGGTGAAAGCAGGGACCAAGTCTCAGCCCTCCTGGGTTCTGCTCCAACATCTGCTACAGCTTGTATTTGTGATTTTAGCCAGGAAACCCAAAGGAAACTTATCACTGAGAAAACAAGTAAATAGGATGTTTGTGGTTCTGTATTCATGGGTGGTTTGGTTGTTGGGTTTGGTTTTTTTATTTACATATACATCTGGTTTTTAAGAAATGTATTGTCTGTGGTGCAGGTCACACACATGTACGAACTGATTTACAGCGAAGCTGAGGTTCTCTGGCTCTGTCTAAGCCCTCTGGCAGAGCCCTGCAGACTGGTCAAAGCTCCCACATGCAGCTCAGTCCCTCACCTCTCCAGGTGAAGCCCTAAATGGCTCTTACGCAGACACACTGACCTTGCTGTGGCTTGAACTGAGTATTTCAAACCACCTGTTTGAGACAACAGGGGTGTAAGTCCTGGGAGGTTTAATTTAGTTTCCACAGCCTTCACTGCTGGTGTTGATGGGCAGTGGAGAAAGAACCTAGTCCAACTAGGGATACAGTATGTTCTTTAAGTTACTTATAAGCTAACAAACACTGCACAGAAATCACTGGTACTGAGTATGCATCCCCAAACATGCTTTTTCTAGTCAGTTTTAAGGCTTGATCATTCAGCACTTGACTCTACTTAGCTGCAAAATGCAGATAATAACCTCATTGGGGAACATTACATAAGCCAAGAAAGCAATGTTTGAAGTGTTGAGATCTCTAGCTGGAAATTCCCATAGAAAGTAAAACCAGCCACACAATGTTTACAGTTACAAGCTCAATTTTGTGCCGATTTAAACTGGCTAAAGAACAGCTCTGTCAGTAGTTTATGCTTCAGTAAAACTCAGTCTACATTAAGACTGGAGCCCAGAAGTTACTTGATGCTCTTCACTAAGCTCAGGGCAGTGAAAAACAAAAATGTTTTCAAATACTTTTATGAGAGACAACACACAGTTAATCAGAGACAAAAACTGGGTAGGACAACTGCATAAACAGCCCTACAAGAAGTGCTGCAGGGTCTTTGGATGACTGGATACAGTCACAACCATGATTTTATTCTCTTCTCAGAGTAAAATATCCCCCTTACTACAACAAGTTCAGAACTGACTGAACATTTGTCAAAATGATAGATGAAGAAATCTTCCCCATGCCTGGAAGATTCACTGCTCAATTACAGACCCTCAGCTGAAGAGATTGCTGTACAAAGGCTGCACACCGTAAAATGAAGAGAAGTTAACAAAGGGTGCATAATGTTAGGGAAAAATGAAAATCAAGGCTTGTTCTCCAAAATGATAAATTACCTCTCATGCACAATAAATCACAAATACATTTTTGCAGGAGGAATGCTAAGAGGAAGAGGAGGCCATGGGACCAGACACCATGACCATTTCCTCCTTCTACAACGAGCTACTTCAGACCTTAATTTCTTTGGCATCCTTGTATTTTCAATATTAAGAGCAGTTTTCTGTGGCCTAGTCTGAAGGTTTTGCACACAGAACACATTCATCTGTACAACTGAAGCCACTAAACAAGCATCTTCTTGTAATGTCATGTTCTTACTAGTCCTTTTATTTTCAATGCAGCGTTTCCCAGGGATGCTGACAAATAAGTGCAGTTTCACCAGTCTGTTGGATGTGCTGAGACAAACAGGAAAATTTAAGACCTTACTTGACCACAAATGCACAAAAGCACACACAGATGCGCATATACTCCAGCGCACATGGAAAAAGCTCATTTTTGGGTCAGAGTGTGTAACTGCACACATTTTTTCATGTACATTTTTGTGGGAACATTTTAGGACTCAAGTCTGGAAAATTCCACCACTTTATGTTGCCCACCATATTACTGGGATGATCTCAGCTCTAGCCTGAATTTATATTAGCTTTGCTTCTTCCTCTGAAATCTTGACAGGCTCTTTGGTGACATCAGCTATCTTTTTTCATCAGGCATTTGTTAGCTGGTGAAACTGAAACTCCCTTTGTGGTTTCCAGTTTCCAGACTTCAATTTGCACTAGATTTATCAGCTGGGGTTTTTTTGGTGTCATCTTTACTAAAAAAGGACTAAAATGTTCTGCACCTATTTAGTATTTGTCTTCCACTAGAAATTTTAAGTTATTTGCTTAATAAATTGTATCTTATACTGATTACTACTGAATTGAAAAAAAATCATCTGGTTTAGCTTTTAAAGGACAATCTGGCCTCAAAAGCCATTTTCAGCTTTTCAGGATTAAGAGCAGAGCTTTAATTTGACACTTAATACATGAATTGATGTGAACCCACTGACTTTGGGTGATAACCTGCCTTCTTTGACCAAGAAGGCATCCTATGAATTAAAAATATGATTGCAGAGTCCTTTCTCATTGTCAGTCTCTGGATCTGCTCATTTTATTCACTACAGAAATCACACATAGAGGACAGAGCACTGGAGAGGATCTTGGTCTGGAGTAACAGGCAGGGAAGGCTAAAACCATATCTCACAAGACCTCTTTCTCAGTAGAGAAACGGCCACAAAGCCGCACATGATTTTCAGAAGCTCGTTTTAAGTAAGGCTTGAATGACCAAGTAATACTTTTTTTACAACCTTAATTTTTCTACATTTTAAAATATACAATAAGCAATGCTTGTTTTTTACCTCCAAAAGTCATAATCTGTAAAACACTGGAGTTGTTGCAAGAGCTGCAGAGATCAGTTTTGGTTAGCATTAGACAGGCAATTTGTACTGCACAAGCAGAGGGCTGCAGTAGTGCTGAGGACTTGGAAACTGAGTGTACAAGTAGCATTGCCATGTACTTGAGAGTTTTTATTAACAGAGAGCTTTGCAGCCTGAAGGAACTAAATAAAGTGCTGTCAGACTGTCTCCAAATGCTTTGCAGATAACATACTGTCCAGCCGCTCACCCTCCGCACACACAACTGTGTGAACATGCAACTGCTCAAAAATCTCTTTTTTTTAAAAAATCTGGTACTGTTCTGTCTGCCACTGTGGGTATGCTTTATATACAACTAAAAACAAAGAAAACATTTTTTTATGAGAGAAAGTCTGATAAATGCCAACGAATTCAGAATTACTAAACCCAAGTTTAGAACAACACAGGAAATAAGGGTGCAGTTACTATGATCTAATTACAGAGGAATTCCCTTGGAAGAGAATGAGACTTATGAATTTCTTTTCATTCCAATCAGTGTTTTTGAAACTCTAGCTGAACTAGTGGGACACTTGGATGGTGCTTGGTTTTAAAACTTAGAACAAGATACTAACGTGAGAAGAAGCCTAACAAATACAGGGCTGTGATTAGTTTCTATTAAAAAGACAATACAAAGTGCATCTTTCTAAGCTAAGATAAAAACTCACAGCCAAACCCAAAACACACACAAACAGCAAACCCCCGAAAGGTATATTCAAATATTGCAAAATAGGAAATTACAGATTCATTTTCCATTTAGTCCATTAGCCCACAGCAGAACTCATACCTCTTAAGCTGCATTTTATGTCTCCCTCTCCTGCAGAAAAACTATCTGCCGTCAGGAAATTACTATGTGTTTAATTCAATTGTATTTGGAAAAACACAATTTATTCTTAGAAAAATAAGTACCATATAAGGTTAGATCAGAGCACAACATGGAGAATGCCTGATGAGTCTTATGCATTCAGACTTTAAATGCATTTGAAGGGCTGGATTTCAAGGTCTAAAAACAAGCTACTGCAACTGCAGTGATAGTTTCCCACACTACTTCAGTGACCTCCACATTTGAGGCTGGCAAAGGCCAACACAAATAATAGTAATCTGGTTAGGATCTAAAACTGCAGCCCTTGCCTTGGGATTTTCCATGTTTGCAGACGCTGAACAGAAAGGAGTGGAAGATGACAAAATCCCATTTCTCAGAAGTCTGAATTCCCAGGACAAACTGTAACAGATGATGTGCTGCTAAACCAGAATTAGCAAACTTGAATGTACTTCAGGAAGCTGAAGCATTTTTCTCCATCCAGAGCAATTCAAACAGGTACCTCCTCAGAGATCCTTCTTTATAAAATGGTGACAGCATGCCAAAAATAATGTGGGTGCCAGCTCCCTACACCTGAGGGAATTTGAACCTTCTACTCATTACCAGCATACCTTAACCACCAAATCTTCCTGGAAAATGAGCTGGAGATGAAGATGGAAGGGAATTTTGCCACCTCTCCCTCTTTTCAGTGCCAGATTATTGTACAATTAGTGGTGAAAACCATGGCAGCAGCAGCACTGGTGTAACCCTGAGCTGCTAGCTGCCCAAAGAATTGCTTCAAGGTCTGAACATATAAGCTGCATTTCTCTAGTCCAGAATTAGATGGGATATAAGTGGTTTGGATTTGCCTGAAAGTTGCTGTCTGTGTCTCAGTTTTGAACAACTGAGCAGCACTTTGTGGGTGGAAAAGCTCCTGGTCAGAAATACCCCATTACCTTTAGCCACTGTTCCGCCTGCTCTTTGCTCTGCACTGCCAGAACCAGGGCATCTGCTCCTTGGTGCGAGATTTTCAGCTCATGCTTCTTCTTTTTGCTGTCTTTGGGAATATAGGTGATACTGCAGTCATTCAGGAGCAGCTCCATCTGGGGCTGCTGGTCCTTGGAACTTTTGTAGCACTAAATAAATATAAGGAAAGTTCAAAAGTTAGATATTACCTTTCTGAACCTTGGGGAAAAGCTCTTATTATATAGAAATGCTATTTTTTAATTTTTAATATTTTTCACACACCCCTTTAGCACATGCCACAGAGTTCAGCCAAAGCCAACTTTGCATTTCTTCTCATCTACTCTGTAAAGCAAAATTACTTCCAGACTGACGATAACAGACATCTTTTATTGCAGAACAGGTAGAACACATGGAAAGCATTAAGTGTCTCTGCATCATCATTATGACTCAACCTTGACCTTGATCAGGTAGGAAGAGGGTGATTTAGGATATCTGTTCACATGTAGCGGCACAATAAAGTTGTGCAGCTAACGACTTTAAAGCCCAGATGTTTACCCTACCCTCCAGCAACAGACCAGCACATGAATGCAAATCTCCATCAGTGCCTACACAATGCAGTTGCAAAGGCACTGGCACATGCCTAACTTGGCTCTTCACTTTAGATAAATAAAAAAAAATTGTCATGGTGTGGAAAAGGGGCTTTAGTTTACTTTGCAAACTCCTGGCTAAAACTATATCTTATGTGATGCTTTTTCCCTCATTAGTAAAGGTTGTCAATGATGAGTCATTTCATGCTGGATCACTGATGACCTGCTCTATGTTGTAATTGGTGATTTGAAGGGTTGCACCTTACATCACTTGTCCTATAGACCCAGTCTCTATTCCCACCGTCTAAGGCATCATTACAGCTGAGGTTTCCAAAGTTGTCGCAGTGCCACACTGCAGAACAACTTTTAACTGTGTGTATGAATGATCAATTATTTCATATACATGTGTTAATTGGGCTTTCACTCATACAAACAAACACTAATGCTAAAAAGGTATCTGATAATAAAGAGGCATCTGATAATCAAGAAGAGTAATTAGAATCTGCATACATAGAATAGTTGAGTATAAATGAACAGAGAAAAGCACATGAACTTTTGCATGTCTGCAGGAGGATTCATGGCATGATGCAACTGTCAGGAACTCAGTAGCTGTTCAAAGTATGTTATCAACACTACAGCTTAGGTTGAGCAAATACAGTCACTCTAAACCAGTCTTTGCAGACCACTGACAAACCTCCTTCCCTCTCCATTATATCATACTTTCTCTAGTTTGGTCACAGATTTTAAGTTTGCAACATTCAAAAAAGTATTAAGTTTTCAATCTGAAAAGACATACAACATTAGTCACTTTAAGAATCAATAAACAGCATAGAATTCCCTCTATGTTAATCTAAATATTTCATTTATAATTATACATTGCCAAAACTGAAGTATGTATATATTAAAGGAGTTTAAGTGAAAAGCAATTCCCTAAAGGACTTTCAGTGAAAAACAGTTCCCTACTAAAAACTTCTAAGGTCTAATTTTAATTTAAATATTTTTGGTTTATGATGACAACGGCATCTATAACACAAGCAATTACCAATCCCTAAGAACATGTATTTGTTTTACTGGCATATCTTGTAAGTTAAATGTCCAAGTCCTCCTTCAAACAACAAACCAATCTTGTGTAACTTGGTCATTAGACTCCTATTGTGATTTTTATTTTCTTAATCCCCATTACAGAATTACTGAAAGATGATCCCTATTAGGCAAAAAAAAAAAGCTTTTCAGACCACACATGTGGTTAAAGGAAATGAAAATACAAAAAATAGCATATTTCTATACAGCACAAAAATGTAACTGTAGAAGAAATATTGTGCAACTTCAGGGAAAAATCTGTTTCTTTCCCTCTTTCTTTCTTTCTTCAAGATGTAATCAGATGGCCCTGACATCTAATATGATACTGATACATGGTGATAAAAATGGGGGCTAAGGATAATGGCATAGTAAGAATATAATAAAAGCTGAATTGGAATAAACTTTTTTCCAACATTTAAATAGAGGAGGATACAAAAATTAAAGCCTCAGTAACCACTGAAAACCAGTAAATTCATTCCGACGATATTTTCAGAAATCTCTTGCCTCTACTTCATATCCTGTTCTTTTCTATACTGCCGTAAGACCAAATGGACTTGGAAAGTGAACACTCCTAAGCTACATTGTACCAGTGCAGGAGGAAGAGGGTCTACAGAAAATGTTCTATCAGCTGTTAATCAGCTTTTAACATTTGGGATATTGCAGCAATTATTAGTAACATAATTAGCTACAAGTGAAGGCAGAGAGTGCCTAAGACCCCAGCTTATTGATTAATACAAGCATTAGTTCACCAATTAGGACACACAAATAAGTGTTTCCCTCAATTAGGGTCTCTTTTCAGAAGATAAGAAGACATCTATGAGCAGATAATTCATGGTATATTTTACTGGTGCCTCCAGTCAGAAAGAAACATAACAGATTTGGTTAAGGAATAAATACATCCACTTGTTTCTTTCCTTTCTATAATGCAGCTGTGCATCATGTGAATACTGCATCTGTAATTACTGCAGAACAGATGGCAAAGGTTTAGTTTAAAGTGTATACATTACCACAGCATATGCTGCCAAGTCAATTCTCAGTCTAACAAGGGACTTTTCTCTCCAGCAGTCTGGTCCAACAGTTCACACACAAAGCTCCCTATGAGATTTTTTTCTCCGCAGGGAATGAAAGATTGGATTTACAGTTTCAGCAAAATTTTTTTCCAAATTAAATATGTTAGAAGATAATAGGCCAGACTTTCTTTCCAATATCAGGGACCTGACTGGGTTTCAGCTTAAGTGCAACAAAAATCAAAGTTCCCAGTGGCTAAATGATACACTTATAATTTCAGTGCTTCTCTGCTTCTTGTGTAAATCATGACTGAATGCTTTGGTAAGGTTACTGTAGACCTGGCCACTGTTTGCAGAACATATTCCAGAATTCAGATTCCTGTCAAAATAAACACATCATCTAAAAGGTACAAAGACTATACAGCTAGTTAAAAACAAAATTTACCAGTAGTTTGTTTTCTTTGATAACACACAGTAGTTTGGTCCATTGCCCAAATCGTTTCTTTCTAAGAAGGAAGGCACAGATTTTGGCATCCTTCACCAGATCCATAGAGGCTTCCTCAGAAGGCCACTGATGTCTCATTTTCTTCCCCTTTCCATCTTCCTCCTCTTCATCGTAGGATTCATAAGAGCTGCTCATAGCATCTGAGTCATAATCTTTAAGAAAAGTGTAAAAGAGTTAGTTAAAACAATTAGCAACGAAGCCTACTAAAATAACTGAAAACCTCAAGAAGGTTCAATTTAAGGCTTTTGAAAGTCAGACATGAACAAATTACTGTTTCTGTGCTTAGTAGTATCAATACATTAAGTTAATTGAGTAAGAGATGCTGTTCCATTATGAAACTTTTAGAAGACCAATACTGATCCTTTGGGAATTTTAACTGAATGAATATATAGCTGGAATTTTAGGTAGTGTTTTATTACCTTCAAAATATTATTTGAGAGATATCTTCATTTTTTGTACCTCTTTTACACAGAAACATCTTCATCTTGCCTTAGTACAGCACATCAAGAAACAAACACTCCATATGGCAATGGTATAAGAGCACATCATGGGGCGATATCTACCTATCATAACATTTCACATAGCTTTCCAATACCTGCACTAATACAATTAACACTCAATAGACAATGCTGTTCCTTGAACTACAGAATCTGATAAAGGCATTGTGCAAAAAAATTGTTTTGTTCTGTGCTTAGCCTAAGCAGGTTAATCCTGCTCCAAGTCTGGTGATGGAATGGCAAGCTTCCATTTTAATTAAATGATCTTTCTTCAGGCCTTTCACTTTCAACATTGCAGACAGATCCAGCAGTACCCTCAACTCCCAAACTATTTTGACATTATCACAGAACCCCCTCTTCCACCATCCATGCTTATTTATTTGATTATGTGAGTATATGTATATAAAGCCCTTCAGGTAATAGCACCTGAAGGCATGGCCCTTATCCACTGGCATGTATTCCCATGGAGGAGAACTGACTGGAATACTTTGAAGAGATGACAATTCATCTAAACATTTCAAGTAGACTTTGATACACTTTTAGGCCAGAAGGTGGAAGAAAATCTCTCATTTGCTTTAGCTAGGTAATTAAGACACAGTTGAGACATAGAAAGGAGACCTGGAAGGATTGGGAAGAGGACAAACAAGAGAGTGGATTGCTGGAAAGACTGCTCTGCATCAGTTCCTCCCTGTGTGCATAGTTAGAATGGGACATACCCAGACCTTGCACCTCTGAATTAAGACTAGATATTTTGATCCAATTTCTGTTTCCACAAATGTTTTATGGTACAGTATATCTTCATTCCAAAGTTAAATGAAGCTCTGGAAGCATTTTTTTATTTATTTTTTTAAGTGATGTGCACCTAACTTGAGCTCCAGGTTTAGCTTCCTCTAAAGGGAGCCTGGTTTGTGCACACCAAAACAGTTCTGCAAATTAAACCAATGCATAGCCAGTGAGGATAACCAGAACTGGCACCAAATAATCGAAGCAGTACTTAAAACACATCATCACAACAGTAATAGAGATGCAGTTGTCAAATACTAAAAAAAGTTGAGGGGCAGTGGAATCATCAATTGCTCAGAAACTGATCTGGAAATATCTTACTCACTGGAAGTGATGTACTCAGGAGCCTTCCCAGGACTAAGTGGCACTGCCTCTTCATAATAGCCTTCAGGAAGGGAAGATGTTGGCAGTGGTGGAGGCCCATTATCTGGTGGCTAAATGAGCAAAAAAAGAAAAAGTGATTACAAACTAACAAGGTGTTAAATTGAACATGGTCAGAACACCTGTTCTGGATCAGTGCCAATGTTACCAGCCTTATAAACACTGCTCTTGTGACTATTTCTTATGTTGACTATCACTAAAGGCAAAGCTGAATTAGATGTCCCTTGAACAAAGCATGTTCTGCAGGGTAGCATCATTCAGAAGTGAAACAAGCCTAAATCTCAGGTTCCTCCTATGTTGTTAGAATTAAACAATAAGTCAAAGATGAATTTGAAGCCATAAAGTGACCTAATTATGTTTCATAACATACTGATACATTTTTAAAGGTATCATTATTGTCAAGACCTTTACCTCTACTCATGATAAGGTAGCAGAACCTTTTTGCATGTCCTTCAGCTGAGTCCTTAGGAGAGAAAAACACTGTAGGATCCTACTTGCTATTGTTAAGGATGGCAAAATCAAGGTAACAGCCACATAAAAAAAATTCTCTACAACAGCATCAAGTGGTAAAAATGCTGAAAAGTCAGAGTTCTCTGTTTAAGAACTGGAAATCTAAAGGATTATGTAGGAAAGAGATTGCCATTTTACAGTGTTAATGCTTATTTATTAGCATTTTATATCTAAAATACTTCATATTATAGCAGCAAACACCAGTTTGGTTGGACAGTCTAATAAAGTTAAATAGCCTGGGCTGGCAGAGACAAAGGACAGAAAATTTAGACCATATTTTCACAACAGATTTTTTTTCAATGGCAAATCAATTCTTAATGCACACATTAATTTTTATAATGCTGTTTCTACATAGCACAAACTGAGCTACAAACAGTGAAAAGCTTGAAACATCTCGAAACTATTACATGATAAAATAAATATGTCAAATACCAGGTCAAATTCTAAAATGCTTCTTTTCTAAATATAAACCTGTTTTAAATTTAAAACTGACCAACTGCTGGTATGTTGATATAGTAACAAAGTAAATTTAGTACTCTGTGACTTCTTCCATATGACTTTACTGTTCTATTTCCTTAACAAGTACCAAAATAACTCTATTTTACAGAACTCATTCATATTTGCCACAGGTTTTTAGTTCCATATTTTCATCTTAGAGAAAATACTGAAGACTTTTTCCAGCACCAGTGGTTTATTGAGTGATTACAAAAATTTAACTTGCAAGCAGAGTCTGATTTCTACAGTAACACTTTTTCAATATATCTTTCTCTTTTTTTTTTGTTTTCTCATGTAATGACAGAGGTGTAATGGTGTTTGTTTGCATCGGACTGATCCACTCTAAACTAAGGGAACAAACATAGATACCAAAGTAAGAAACAGGTCAGGGTGGGTTTTGCTTATGGTCAGATACAATCACTTCTGGACTGCATCTCACGTGGGCTGACCAGTCCAGCAGGCATGGAGTCTTCTTCCACATCACACAGATGAAGCTACAGTGACTGTACTCCTCTTTTGCTACAGATCTAAAGTTGCTTGGGAGGAACCTGAGCTTTAATAACATGTGGCATTAGCCGTAGTGAAATTCCTCCTGTGGGCACTTTCAGGGCTGGATTCATCTCTGCATATTTTTAAAGCTAGACATCTCCAAATCTAGTTACTTATTACACACCTACACCAGACACCTAACTCTTAACAACATCAGCAAGCTAAGTCCACCCTTAGAGTGCTCTGTAGTTAAATTCATATCCAGTAGGTTATTCCACCTTGCAGGTAAGTGCTTGTGTATTCCCAATGTGCAGGAACACAAAGAGCTAGTGGCTAAACCTGCCCTTCAATTCATCCAGCATGGGCTTCCCTTTGTGCACCAAGTAAAATCAGAAACTTTGAACATGAACTGATTCATGACTGAACACAGAAATTCTTGGTCAGACTGATATTTACACTAACATTACTTCTATAACGTATGATATAACCAACACACTCAATTACAGATGGAAATTACTATTATCTACAATGTGAATTAAAGGAGTTTTCCTCACAGATGAGTTTTACTAAAGAAACTGTCAAAGAAGCAAAGTAATGACAAAATACAACTTTTAGTGTAGTGTCCCTGTCATTTTGCTGAAAAATATCAAATTGCCAATATGCACATCATCACAAAATAAATGAGTCCTGCAGGTTTAGCTGCTGCTGTGCAACAGGCTTAAGGGAAATTAAAAAATGTTTGTTGATGTTGGAAAATTGATGGCAATTATGAATTTTGCTCTACACACATCATCTCTGTGTGGCCTGAACTACTGCACACAAGATGGGGAACTGCCCCCAAATAGTTCAGATTTTCTCCCTTCATGTAGGTGGGTAGAATCATGACCTAGTGAGTTGGGGTCACGGTTTGTTCCTGGGGGAGTGTAGATTCATACCACCCTTTCATTTGTCAGATAAATCAATATCTTGGTCTAGCCTTAAACCATTTCCCCAATCAGGTGTGTATACAACATATGAAATTCCTATAAATATTAAACCTCATTCACCTAGGAAATATCTGTCCTGAGTCAATCCAGTATTGACTTGACATCGCACTGAGGGCTACATTTTATCCAGGAACAAATAAGAGGTTCCAATAAACATCGGGGGGGGTGGGGCGAAAATCCTTGTTTTTAGACAAAATGTTATTCAGAAAGAAAGAAAAAAGGAAATGAAACACAAGTGGTGCTTGTCTGATTTCAACCCTGCTGGAGCACCAGTTACTTCATACAGCTGGGGCGGGCTGGGCTGTGCAGCCAACGTCAACACAGATGGAATCCATTGCTGAATTAACCAGGCCCTCCTCTCTGAAATGCATTTTGCAGTGCTTGCCATGACCAAGTTGAAAACAATTATAAAAAAGATACATTTTTCTTGTAAAGAAAAAACAACAGGAGAAAGAGAAACATCCAACGTTAAATATTATCTGATAAAAGTAAGGCTGCTTTAATATTGAAAAAGAAATCCAATTGACTAAATACAAAATAAAAACATCTCAATCAAATCGGTACCATAAACAACTATATCTTTTGGGAGCTATGGAATATGGAAGAGTTTGATCTCTTATGAGATATGTAATACATCCATATGTAATACATATCTTGAGATGTGTAAAAAGAATATGTGTGCATGCTGGTATTAGTTACAAATATTTATAGTGCTTTAAGTTTTTTACTATTGCTAGTTGCATTGTTTAATTCTTCCAACTTGTCAATTTTTAGTGGAAGAATTTTCATGAATTTATGAGTTATGAACTGAAACAACTCTTTATTTAATAACTTTTGAATAGTTTACCTGAAAAAATAAAAAGGCCATAAACCCCACAAAACTATTTACATATTCTATAAAAGGATTAAATCTCAAAAACCACTGGAACATGTGCAGCTTGAGTGGTATCAGAAGGAAAAACTTGGCAACCTGCAAAGAAGGCATTAGCATGAATTTCTACCTTTTTTTATGACAGGCAACAGGGAAGAAAGCTGAAGAATGCTGCCTCTCAGGACAAATAACCTTGCAATAAGAGCTTAGTTAGAAAATAAATCACCATCATATTTATCTCCTTGGAGGAAAAAGGACAAAGATGAGTGAGATACTGTTGCCCAGAATAATACTAGTAATACTAAAACAATACTGATGATGTTTGCCAGGTACTGGGTTTGAGACCAAATGAGAGATGCTTTAATTGAAAACAAGAATGGATGGGGTGATCATTACACTAGAGTTGAGATCTCTGATGACATTAAAGACTGGATTGTGCATGAGATGCCCAATTCTAATTCACAGGACGGATTGTTGAGAGAAAGAAACAAAATATCTCTAAATAATAAGCAATATTTACCTGGATGGTAAAACTCATTATCCTAATGAACACTATGAAACAGACTTCAATGGACATACTAATTTAAAGGTGTATTATGGTCTTTCCCTCCACCTGATCATCTCTGTTCCACAGACCACAAATAAACTCCTTTTCTTCTTAAGACATAAACTATTTTATTGCCTTCTTCTGTCCAAGGGTACTGATGAAGATAGACAGTGACTTCTATTTCAGGGATACTCTAACTGTATCTGCTGAGGATATGGAAAATAAATGTCAGTGTAAAGAGGCCTGAGGATATCAAATCACTTTATACCCCAGTGAAGACTTACACTCTGTAGTAAATAGAAAGAAACACCTCCCTTTAGGCAATAATTTAGGATGTGGAGATTTCCAGTGCAGAGCAGTGAGTTTAGCAGACCCTGTCAGCACACCCATGCTGCAGGCAAAGGCTGCCAGCAACTCAAGGGCCATGCTCACATGTGTGTTATTAGATCAACCACCAAATCAGATCCAGCCGGACCATGGAGCCAGCTGCTACACAACTCCTCAGTGCTGAAGGCAGCAACATGAAACTGGAAAAGTGGTCACACACTGGTGATGTATAATAAAGCTATTCAGGAGCCAGGAGGCAAATGTGGGCTGTCAAGAAGAAACTTTGACTCGTGCACATGCCATTTGCTCTGGAGCAAGCTTAGACCTGACCTCTGTACAACCCCATCTTCAGCCTGGAGGGGGAAGAGTATTCACACATTATGATGCCTAACTTCACTTGTGAAGCCCACAAAACTGGGAGCCAAATAATGTGAAGGAAGTCTAATGACTTATTTTTTCAGCTTCTGAGCACACCTGACAAAAGACAGCAAAACAGCAAGCCAGACACCAAACTCAGCTTTTTGGAATTGAGTGACCTTGTCAGTCCCACCAGGTGGGTAACAGGGCTGCATGACGGGCTGTTGGTATTGTGCTACCCAGCCACCACTGAGTGTACATGGAATTAGAGCAAACACCTCTGCAACACCAGTGCTACCAGGAAAAAGCCAAAAGGAATTGCCTGAGAAATCAACAACCAGAGGCAGACACAATGGGAAGCCCAGCAAGCACCAGACCTCCCATGAAGAGCTGAACTGGTCACCCACCAGCTCCTACTGCAGTGACTGAACAGATGAGGGCAAGGGGGAAGTGATTACTGGGTGGAAGATG